CGCCCTCCGCCTCCCCCTCGTCCGATGGTTTGCCTCCTACACCAACCCTCCCATGGCCATCCTCTCCAACTTCTTTCTCGGCTGGACCCTCGACTTGGTCAAGCTCGACATCCACCGGTTCCGTTGGACCGCCCAGCAATTGGTCCGGTCTGGTTCTAGGACCAGGTGGTCCGATTCTCGATTCCCAATTCCTGGGTGATTTCCAATTTTTGGGTGGGATTGGATTGGACCGGGAACCGATCACCCCATCCAATCCCACCTACGTGAAAAGTTTGTCTATCTAGACTTTTCTAATTAATTAATAATTATTTAATGCGACAATTAGCCAAGTTATAAGAATTCTAAAAGATTGGGCTATCTTTTCTTTTTTTGTCAAATGCGTCCTTAGAATGACAAGCTTTATAAAACCGTTCTTGCGAGGAGGCTGAATAAAATTGAATTTAACAGTTTTCAATAGTTGGCAACCAATCGAAGGGGGATTGGGGTTGGTGTGCTGTTAGAATTTCAATGGCAATCTTACACGTCATACTTAAATGTACACATGGCACACATTTAACCCTATGTTGAATGCCGACAGTAGATAAATGCCAGTGTATGGAGACGATGACTCAACTCGGTTTCTGGCCCATCTCTCCATGCGATCTTATTTTCGTGATTATTAAATATTAGGGCTCTATTTGATAGAGCATTTGGAGAAAGTTTTTGGAAAAATGTAAAGAATTTTAGGTTAAAAGAATTTTTGAAAGGTAAATAGTATTTGAGAAAGTATAATTTAAAAGTACACTAAAAAACAACTTTTATTAAAATGATGTTTGAAAAAATCGCACTTGTAAAGCACTTTTGCTATTCTTTTAAAACAAAAAACTGAATTCAAATCCTTCGACGAATGCCATCAAAGGGCTCAAGCCGCCGGCAAGCCAAATCTGCCATCGGCGACCGTCGTTGAGGTTGCACAACCTCAGGTGACCCCAAGCTAAGGTTGCGCAATCCCAATGAGACTCAAAGGCCTTAACATTTGGCAAAGGGCCTTTAGAGGCTTAAAGGTCTTTGCCGTCCTATTGGCACAAAAAATGAGCCAGATGAATATTAGCCCCATCGGAATAAATCATTGGCTTTACTTGGTGCATAAGCCTTAGTGCATGAGATTTGATGGATCATGTGAAACCACATGGGACTGAGGAGATTTAATTAATTACATGAACTGTGCTTGCCACACCAGGTCTAGCTAATAACTTCTCCATACTGGAATTGGGTGTTGACCTTATAGTTATAAACCTTCTGAAGAAAACATAATAGCTGATTCTGGTGCAGTTGATTCGAGCTACTTATCAGGTCAGTATGAGGCGGTACCAACATGATTCATAATTTAGAATCGAGAATTGACCCTATGACTCATAGTTCTAGATTCTACCCGGTGATCAGCCCATTTTATATTTTGGGTAAAAAACCAAATTCTTAAAAACAAAATATAAAAGTCGCACCATTTTCACCCTAAAAAACATTTGTTACTCGAGTGGTTATTTTGCCGGTAGTATTTGTTGAGACCATGGTTTAGTTCTTGATGGGTGCAAAGATATTGTTTTCTTTTTTTTCCTAAAAGAGGCTTCAAAACTAGTTCAACCTGAGAACCATACTGATTGAACCGGTTCTGGACCGATTCTAGGTTTGCCGAACAGGAAATGGTTTAGTCTAATTTCACGTTTGTCGCGACCTAACCCTCGAGGGCCGTCTCGGGGGTAGTAGGTTTAGAGGTACTTTACGAGACACTCCCTAAGTCCGTACCTCGCGTGACGTTGATTATCTAAATTTACGTGCTCTATTTGGAGTCGCCACTAGCCATGATTAAAGGTCGGCTAGAAACCCTAAAATCGAGACATGTGAGTATCGTCTCGATGCATACACAACCAGAGATTTTTAGGGATCGGAGACTTGATTAGACTAGTTTTTCAACTAATGCCCTTTCGGTACCTAAATTCGACTATTTGTTAACCAACATGCCAGGGCAGTCTTTTTTACTAATTGAGAATCTTGAAATTTCGTCCTAACCATTCTAAAGAGAACAACAAACAAAGTATTTAAAATGCACAATCAACTGAAATAAAAAATGAAAATGCACAAACAACGACCTAGCATCATCTCTAAAAGAATAAACAATAAAAAATTCCTAAAGTAAAGCCCTAACGGCTTATTCAATTTTGGATTCAATTTTTGTTCAAGCCTAAAGTGTTTATTGAAAGCCCTAAACTAAGAGAATTCTACATATTTTAACTTTTCTCACATTTTTTATTTTTCTGAATCTTCCCAATTTTTTTATTTTATTTTATTTTTACTTCGAAAAAAGAAAAGGACTCTGGACCCGGTCAAGGAACCCGGTCTAATTAGCCGGTCTGATCCGGACTAGTCCTTGGGCCCAGTCTGAATTTGGGTCTCTTCTGATGGGCCATCACAACAAATCAAGCCCAAGTTTCTAACTCCTTTTGTTTAATTCATTTTAGCCCAATTTCGAGTTCAACCCAATCACACCATCATTGAACCCTTTTTGCAGCCCAGCCTCCAACCCGACCTCAAATCTGACCCGAGCAACAAGATCTGACCCGACTCTGATTTATTTCCCTTTTTTTTTTAATCCCTATTTTCTATTTTCTATTTCTTTATTTCCCTTTTTTGTTTCTTCTTCTTTTTATTTTTTTATTTCTATTTTTCTGGTCTTCTTCTTCACGCCTTCACGGAAGTTTCTACATTCACTTCACCAAAACCGTCGGGAATCTATCACCACCGATTCTCTAACCGTCGCCGTCGGCCATCTATTCCAGCCACCGCCGAACTTCCGTTGACTACAACTTACAGCCACCGTCGTCCCTCGTCACACACCGGCCACAATAAAAAAACAGAGCCTCTTATTCAATCGGTCACCAATCTTCATCTAATCAAACACACTAAATCTAAAAACACATTAACACACGAAACAAGGATAGAGAACTCACTGTGGCGGCCTCAAAAAAAACCATAGTACATTCATCTTACTCATCCTCTCCAAACTCATCCATTATTCAAACCCAAAGATGGAACTTTCTCTCTCCATCCTCTACCTTCTTTCCTCTAGCTCTCCTCCTCCTTATAAACCAGCCCAAAAACCTGCCACCAAGGGTCTGTTTAGTAACGTTTCGTTTTTTATTTTTCTCGTTCTTTTGTTCCCTAAATGAAAAAAACGTAAATCCGTTTAGTAAAAAAATCTATTTTTTTGTTTCGGAACAAAAAAGTGTTTCGAAATAGATTTGGAACAGAAATAAGAAGCAAAAAAAATTTGCTTCTTGTTTCTGGAACAAGAAAAAAGAAACGATTTTTTTTTCTTGAATCCTCCAAAAACAAGAAACAATCCATTGGCCGCAACCCGCACACCGCCGCCTCGCCGTCCTTCGCCGCCACCTACCGCTCGCTTCCGCCGCCGCCACCGGCCGGCTCTTATCGCCGACCACCGTTCTTCGTCGCCGACGCTTGTCGCCACCCGCCACCGCCGCCGTCCTCCACCGCCGCCGCCGTGCTCCATCGCCAACGCCGGCCGTGCCACTGCGCGCCGCGCTCCCGCCTAACCACCCGACAGCTGGCGATCACCTACCACCGGTCATCGTCCTCTGCCGCGCCGGCCACCACCACCGGCAGCCATCCTCCGCGTCGGCCATTGTGCTCCACCGCCCGACGCCGGCCACCACCCGGCACTAGCTGCCCTCGGCCACCGGCCACCTCCCGCCCCTGGCCACCCGACGCCGACGGTCACCCACCATCGGTTGCCATCCTTCGCCACCGGCCGCCGTGCTCCATCGACCGACGATGGCCACCCTCCACCGTCAGCCACCTCCCGCGCCATCATCGCCGCCCGACGCCACCGTGCTCCGCAGCTGACCGCCGTGCTCCACTGCCTCCCGCCGCTGGTAGCCTAGAAGGGAGAAACTCGTCCATGGAATAGAAATGGATCATTCGCGTCCTAAACGCGTTTCTATTCTTTTTCTATTTCATGAATAGAAATTTTGTGCAGTTACTAAACGCTATTTTTTGCTCAGAAACTGTTCCAAGAAATAGAAATAGAAAAAACTATTTCTGATCAGAAATTGTTTCTGGGAACAGAAACGTTGCTATGCAGACCCCAAGTCCGCCTGCCATCCCCATCACCGGCCACCTCCACCTCCTGAAATTCCCCGTCCACCACACCCTCCACGCCCTCTCCCAAACCTACGGGCCCATCTTCGCTCTCCGCTTGGGCTCCCGCCGGGTGGTCGCCGTCTCGTCGGCGAAATCACTGAAGAGTGCTTCACCGCAAACGACGTCGTGCTCGCCGACCGCCCTGCCTTTAAAACCGAACTTTATTATTAAATCAAGCAATTTCTGCTGTGCTAGTTTTTTCTAGAAAAAAAAGAAAATGATTTCTTGATATTTTCTTAATAAGGTTAATTTTTTTGTGCTCCCAAATTGAGAGTCCATGGTGCATGTTATCGACTTACAATATCCTTTTTGTTTAAGTAATTGTATATATACATCACAGCTACCTGTCCAACCGGTTGCCCACCTTCCAGCAGGGCTGTTGTTATTTATGGGGTTTCCTCCTGCCTTTCTTCTTCGTTATTACCTTAAATATTGCTCTCTCTCTCTCTCCTGAACTTTTTGAGGTGTTTCCTGTTTGACAATGCCATGTTATGTGATAATATTGATATACCAAACCACGTGGCAGACTATAAGTGAACAATAAGTCGTATTCAATAATTAATAACAATATGCCATATCATTTATAATACCAAATTATAAAACAGTCTTAGGATTTGGCATTTCTCTTTCTTGTTTTTGTCGTAAAATTGAAAACAAGCAAGTGATTGAGATATTAAGTGCACTATACCTACTATGACTTTACTAGAATTTCTTACTAAACGAAATGATGCGCTACGTGGCACGCTTTATGTCATCAAGTAGGAGTGGAATCGGCATTAGAACAAAGTTTGTGAAAAAGGGAAAAGAGATAAATGGGGCAACATCAATTAAAGGAAATTTAGTTTTCCATTCCATCATCATTTCTTCTCAAAATTACACATAAGTCCTCTCAAGCATTAATGCAATCTGCCATTGAAGTTGGTCTAACAATCGTTCACGCTATTCATATAGTTTATTAACTTGTTATACCGAAATGTATTGTAATTATACTTTTCTCGTCTACTTATATAATATTTATTAATCTCGATTTCATTGGAGTTATCATTCACGCTGAACTAAAACCCCCGACTAGAGAGAATTGTCACGCAAACCCTTTGAATCATTCGGTAGTTGTATGTAGATCGTCTTCGAACGAAAACCTGCCTGATCATCCTTATAAAGTTCAGATATGTTGAATCCCTTGATGGCCCCAACACTTCTTGTGCTTTGCATTTCCAGAGATGGGAAGCGCTTCAAGGATTGTCCAGCATTCTTCGGTAAGGAATGCTACACAATAAAGAGAGAAGGACAAACAGTCTCAGGGAAAACAAAGGCTGAGACCACTTCGAGTCCTTGACCAAGTATAAGAGGGCAAGTAATCGATATGTTGACCTTCTCGTTTAGCTTGACCAAATGGTTTTTAGGTGACTAAAGCAACTCTCTCTCGCACAATATAGCACCTAATGCAGGAAAAGAGATGTAATTAATCATGTTTGGCAGTGTTGGCCTTAGGATATTTCATGAGTCCGGGATTAAACCGCATTTCTTTTCTCATTTAATTTAGCACGTTGGTGTCTCCAATGTTTGAATTCAAAGGATCACCTAACGAGCCAATGTTTGAAGCCAAGTCCAAGTTTAACTTGTCAACAAGAACATGTAAAGCCTTTCCAATGTAGGATGTGCTGGTCACAACCGTGATTTTCCGTTGACTTTTTCTGCACCAAACCCACCATGGGGTAGGTAACGAACCTACTACTGATGATGGCTTTGGCTTATGATGCCACGGGAGCAATGTAAACTTGCGGAGGCAACTTAACTCTTTACTTATATCTGTTGCATCCTCCATGAGCTCATCTTTGTGAAGAGCAATTAGCTGCATTTTGATGTACGTTCTCTCTCTCTCTCTCTCTCTCTCTCTCTCTCTCTATCTCTCTCTCTCTCTCTCTCTCTCTCATTAGGTCCAATCTAATCATTAGGTCCAATCTAATATATGCTTTAAATCAAGAACGTAGCATACATAGTCTTGCCGTGATCCACCTGAACAATTCACAGTGTCAAAGCTGTTAGCTTGAAGCGTTTCTCTTGTGTGAGAGCAATGTGTCACTATAATCTAAGTAGCACGGATACGCGACACGCGACACGTCATTTCTCAAAAATAGAGAATTTTGACACGTTGTATATTAAATATATATTTATATATATAATAAATTATTATTTTTAAATTTGATTCAAATAAGTAAATAAATAATAATAAAAAGCCTAGAGTGAACTTACCCTAAAAAATTATACACATAAGTTTTCAAAAAATAATTATATATAAATAAATATATTAGTTAAGAAACTAAAAGTAAATAATTAAATTTGAAAAAAGGAAAGTACAAGATAAAAAATAAAAAAAAAAAGCAGTCAAGCCCACTTTCCTTTTCTTTCCCTAGATTTTCTCGTCTTTTGACTCTATCTCTGTATCTCTCATCTCTGTATCAATCTCTCGCGCCCCTCCCTCTTCTCCGATCAGATCTCCGGCAGTTCTCGCCGCGAAAACTCCGATTCGCTCAGCTCGCTCATCCATGACGCTCGGCTCGGGAGGATCGGGGGTCGTTGGTGAGTTCTCAAAACCCTTCCCGACCTCGTTGTTCGACCTAGATTTCCGGATCCTCCCTCCCCCCCGGGGCAAATTCTCTCCCCCCCATCCTGACCGATTCTCAGATCCCCCACCTCCCCGTTCCCCATTTCTCCGAGAGGATTCGTGGTGGGGTTCGCAGCATCCGAGCCTCGATTTGGCGAGCGAGAGATCTGACGAGAGGGGGGCTTTTCTCCCTTTTGCTCCGGACTCGCATGTCGCCGGCGTGTCCGGCGCGTTGACCGCGTGTCGTATCTCCGACACGCGTTGATTGCGTGTCCGAGCGTGTCGGCGGCGTCGTGTCGGACACGCGACACGTGTCGGACACCGATTCGGAAGCACAAATAACGTGTCCGTGCTACTTAGCCTATAGTTATTGCATGAGTTCATATACGTTGGCATTGACCTCTTTTCTAATGCATTTACCGGACTACTCCGACACAATTGTTATGCCTCTTCATTTGACCTCATTTCTGCTGACTATGGCAGTATGTGGAATTCAATTTTTTGTGTTCTTTTTTGTAATATTTCTCCTTCTGCAGTGAGTACCCATCGATCTATCCACCACCGATCCAAGTCCTGACTACGTCTCAAAACATGCAGTCCTATACCAAGGCAGCCGTAGAGAGGTGATCCTATAAAATGTTTTTTGTAGACTCAGAGTCCTATTGCTTATCCTGATAATAAGTGCCTGCTTTTATGACAGCAGTTGCGAACAAGCATATGCTGATGTCAATTGGGACGAGTTGGGATTCAATCTCATCCCGGCCGATTATATGTACATAATGAAGTGCACCGATGGCGAGAACTTCTCTCAAGGAGCTCTCACTCGCTACACCAAGCTCCAGCTCGATCCTTCTGCCGCAATCCTGAACTATGGACAGGTCAGTGATCAGCAGCATTCGGTTAATCTCTTCCCTGAGATAGAAAGATATCCAGTAAAATTGAAGGCACAAATTCAAGTGCTTTGCTTGAGTTACGTGAACATCCATAGCGTCAAAATTAGTGCCTATGGGAACACAGAAAGTGGGCTTTCAGGGATGCAGGGTTTGTTTATGAATAAATCATGGCGATCATACAGTCTAAGTCCTCACGTATTGTTTCACCTAATGACCATGTTGTGAAGTGACATTTCTGCTGTTTGAACCATCGAATGATGATGTCTTATCCGTAGGGGTTGCTGGAAGGCCTAAAGGCACAACGGACAAAAGATGGTCGGATCCTGCTCTTTCGGCCAGAAGAGAACGGCCTGCGCATGAAGATGGGGGCCGAAAGGCTCTGCATGCCATCACCATCCTTGCAGCAATTCGTTGACTCCGTGAAGCAGACTGTCCTAGCCAACCAGCATTGGGTATCGTCACTATCTTCATGTGCATGATTAGCTCAAGAATAACAAAATCCAAAGCGTTAGACCTCAAGTATTTCTCAATTACATTCGATGCCGATACTTTTGATTTATACTGCATTCTGCAGGTTCCTCCTCCAGGAAAAGGATCGTTGTATGTTAGACCTTTGCTCATCGGAAGTGGACCAGTTTTACGCATGGGGCCAGCGCCAGAATTTACATTTGTTGTATATGCTTCACCTGTCGGTAATCTGCATAAGGTGGGCGACTGACAATCAATTTCTTGTGAACAATGAGAATCTTCAGATCTTTTTTTCTTTCTTTTTCTGGGTTGAAGAAGATTTCGATATTGCATTGATTTATTTGTATCCAGGGTCAGATGTCCATGAAATTGGTCATCCAGGATAAATCCCATAGAGCTACACCTGGAGGAACTGGGGGAATCAAATCCATCACAAACTACTCCCCTGTAAGCTATCGAACAGCAAAATTTCTATTCATCATATAATGTTAATGACTTGTGCTCTGCTTTCTGCTCATGCCAATACATAAGTTCCATACAGAGGTCTACTCTTAATGGCATTTCTATGTGGGTGACTATAAGTTTCTTTAACAGGTTTTCAAGCCCATAAGTGAAGCAAAGTCCACAGGGTTCTCTGATATCCTGTTCCTCGATGCAGCAACAGGAAAATTCATCGAAGAGGCTTCTTCGTGCAATGTATTTACAGTCAAGGTATTTTATTGCGTATATAGCATAAGCAGTAACAAACTTTTGCTTCCCGCTAAAAATGACAACTCCACATTTGCGATTTATCACAGGGTAACGTCATCTCTACGCCGGCATTACAAGATACCATCTTGCCTGGGATCACAAGAAAGAGCATAATTGATATTGCTCTCAGCTTCAAATACCAGGTGTGTGGGACTCATAAACAAAGAAGTCTGATTACTTTGGCTACAAGACAACCTAGGGAAAGAGATTCATTAATCTTTAAAGTGTTTAAACACCAGATAGATCTCTATTACTTTCAAACAATGATTGCCAAAAAATGAGCAGTCTTCTTATGTGTGCATGCTCTATCCCTATCCTCCACGGTTTGCGCAGTCACTTTGAGCTAACCAACTCCTTCTAATCCGAGTACATAAATGGTAAAACTTTTCAAGACCGGAGTCAGTTCGGACTAGACTTGGCAAGTTAGGACTAGAAATTCTTCTCCAGCTAAGAGACTTTCCTCGTTTTAGGATACAGAAATAATTGATACTCCTACATGGAACATTAAGCGCAGGAGGAACACGATGAATCAATAATGATGATTCGGAAGGGGTAAAGCAATTTCTCTTTCGACTCACCACACACTTGCACCGTAGGAAGCTCTCAAAAGAAGTCGTGCTTCAACTCTCTTGATAGTCGTCTAAATTGCAACCTCAAGAATCTGTGCATTAAAAAAGGTTTTTGATCAGGTGGAAGAATGTCTACTCATGGTGGAGGATGTGATGGATGCTGACGAAGTATTCTGTACTGGAACAGCTGTGGGTGTCACTCCTGTTGGTAGTGTAACCTACCAGGGCAAAAGGTAACAAAAATTGGTTTATAGAGGTTTGTCAATCAAAAGAAAACCACATAAACCATTCTCCTTCATCTTAGATTGTTCGTCCAGTACTGACAGTTGCATTACTGCAGGTGTGAGTACAAAACAGGAGAAGACACAGTGACCGAAAGGCTTCGCGCAAAGCTTGCAGCGATTCAAATTGGTACTGCCGAAGATGACTTTGGGTGGACTTCAACTCTTAACCAAGCTTGATAGCTATTCTCTACTGCCTATGAAAATGCAAGCTAGCTGATATGTGTAAGCGATAATGTGATTCTTTTCTGCGGAAAATTCTGAATTAAAGAATCTTAGATCTTCATGATTTTTCACAATAAGAGGGATAAAGACATGCATTTATCCATAGCAATAACCTTGAAAATGATTGTTGTAGAAACATAAGAGATAAAGAAATCCGATTTCTCTCCCTTAACCCATTTTTTCTTAGCGTATTTTATTAGATGGAGGATAGAATACAAATGTTTGTTGTCTTGGGTGGAGAGAGGACCAAATTCCATTTATGTAGGCTATCGATTAGTGCTTTCCATCAAAGCACATTCTATCTTTATAAGAGTCGCATCTTTTCATAAGAACCGTAACTTCCTCATAAGATTTGCACCTTTTCATGAGAATTGCAACTTCTCATAGCCAATATTTCTTTTATAGCATTTAAATAATTATTAAACCATTAATTAATAATATCATGTGGGCCACAATAATTCTTACATTCTCCCACTTGGCCCATATGACATTTCTTTCATGGTTTAATAAATACCCTAATGTGCACCATAACATTATGCTAAAATTTTTCTTAAATTGGCTATCATACAATAATCACAATTAAGTAAACAAAATTAATGCGAGTTAGAGCAGTTGTATGTCATTGATTAACATAGTCCCATCAATGTCCTGCAGCTCTCTACTTAACATAATCCATAAATGAAAAGTATAATAAAGGTTCAACTATAATGTCTCTATTAAAGACAATTCTGTTGAACATTCATCTATTTCTATCATGTATACTAAATAGAAAACATGAAATACCAGAAACACATAAGTGTCAAATAAGTAAGCTTAATGCAACCATAATACAATCATTAATGATATCCAATAATGCCCATCATTTCAACATGTTCATTAAACATTTTGGGCAGCATTCTTTGTTAAGGGATCTGTAATAATGAGATTGGTGCTAATGTACTCAATTGACATGGTGCTAATGTACTCAATTGACACTCTCTGTTTCTAAACTTCTTCTTTAACGAACAAGTATTTAATTTCTATAAGTTTAGCACCCTTAGAATAATTGTCGTTTTCAGAGAAGAAAACTATTGCAGAGTTAGCGGCCTGGCAATACTGTCGACAATCACAAGCCCTAAAATAAAGTTCCGCAGCCATAACCCATGAATGGTGGCCTCAAAGCGTGCCACAAACTCAGCCTCTATAGTAGGTGCAGTGATAACTGACTGCTTAGCACTTCTCCATGAAATTGCCCCTCAAGCCAAAAGGAACAGGTAACCAAACATTAATATTCTTGTATCAACTAAGTCTAAATTTGAACATCCAATCACCTCAAGACGATCAGATATTTTATAAGTGAGCATATGATTCTTTGTTCTTTGCAAGTATTTGACAAATTTCTTTGCAGCTTTCCAGTGATCAAATCCTGAGTTGCTTTAATAGTTACTTAGCATTCTGATAGCAAAAATGATGTCTGGTTGGATGCAAGTTTGAGCATACATTAGGCTCCCAACAACAAATGCATAAGGAATACTTTTCATTTGCTCTGTTCCAATTCACTTTTTAGACATTGCATAAAGCTAAATTTGTCACCTTTATGAATTGGAACTACTCATGCTAAATTTGGCATATTTCCATGCAATGTAAATCTAGGGGAAAATTACTAAAACAGTCCTAAATTTATTGCAATTGTCCCAATTCAGTCTTAAACCTTTTGCATTTGTGCCAATTCAGTCAATCCGGCTAATTTTGGCCGACCAGCGCTGACATGGACGCCGATCGATGCTGGCTCCAACCGACGCTGACGTCGTAATTTTTAATTTTTTTCAATTTTTTTTCTCTCTTTTTTTTTTCCTATCTTCTTCCTTGGTAAGTCGCCCAGAGGCTAAGGCCGATGAGGGCGCTGTCATTGGGTGAGGTCGAGCCTAGGCGAGCTCGACCTCACCTAGCGACGGCAAGGCCGCCCAAATCTAGTGAGACCTCACCGTCGTTGGGCAAGGTCGAGCTCGCCCGGCCATGGCGAGGCTCGACCTTGCCCACCGACGACGAGGGTGAGCCTCGCCATGGCTGAGCAAGCTTGACCTCGCCCAGCAACGGTGAGGCCGCTCAAATTTGGCGAGACCTCGCCGTCGTTGGGCGAGGCTTGCCCTCACCAGTGGTCAGCGAGTTCAACCTCGTCGGCCTTAGCCTCTGGCTGGCTGGCTGGGCGACCGACTTGGGAAGAAGATAGGAAAAAGAGAAACAAAGAAAAAATATTTAAAAATTGTCACGTCAACGTCATCCGAACGGTTGGCATCCACGTCAGCGCCGGCCGGCCAAAATTGGCCGGATGGACTGAATTGGCACAGACACAAAAGGTTTAGGACTGAATTAGCACAATTGCAATAGGTTTAGGATCGTTTTGGCAATTTTCTTGTAAATCTAGTGACCCATACCCAATCCTACCGGTACTCAACACATACCTGACTCGATTTATATTGCTAAAGCACTTCCGTATTTAACCCAATTTATGAAAACTCATACCCAATATGAGGTGAGAGTGTGGAGTAAGCGATCGCGAGATCGAGTGAGGAAGAGAGAAAATGTAAAAAGAGTTATAAAGGTGGGTTGAGTCTAAGTAAGTTGTAAACTTATTTATGACCCATTAACACTCATATCATGTTTAGATCCATTTATGACATATTAATTGAATATAATTAACTCATATAACAATTCAGCCCATCATATATGATTTAAGAAATGGATTTATGATCCATTTTGAAATGTCTAGGCATATGTAATCTAATCAAGTATAACTGATACCATGAACGAAATATAAGAAGCAATACCATGTCTTGGAGAACCAAATCCAAGCCGATTTACGGGAGGGATCAGCGGCTGACCTTTTCTAAGAAAAGCATTGTTGACTTTACTGTGTCAAATTTTGAAAGAGCCCACCACCTGTAAGAAAAAGATGGCACGACGTAGATAATGTCAAGAAATGGTCAAATTGCAAGTTTCAATGCTGTGGTTTTTACCAATGGAAACAATGGAAGAGATGAGAACAAAAGGGTGAATGAATGCAGGGTCTTCCTCCCCTAACTTTTAATTTCACATAAAGCCGAGGAGGCTTCTGTTTGGGTTAAGGACAGCAGGAATCCCATAATCTTCATACAGTGCTCACTTGAATGCCACATCGGAGTAAAATCGATTATTTAAGTGTCATTCTCGACAAATCATCATACATGGATTTTTTTTTATTAATTTTCCATTCCCACGTGGATTTTTTTTTTGGTTATTTTTATTAAATATCCACGTCAGCGCCAGCGATACCACATAGGATGACCAGTGTCCACATCGAATTTTTCGGTGAGGCAAATCATCGATGGCACTTCTAGGCTACGCATGGCAACTTGCCAAATAGTGTTTGATTCTATTCTTTTGTTCCTAGAATCAGTTTGGGAATAGAAATCCGTTTGTTTAATTTTTTGATTCTAGGCACAAATTCGCAAAAATTTGTGCCCAGAATCAGTTTTGGAGCAGAATCAAGTAGCTTCTTGATTCTGGGAACAAAAATGAGAATCAATTTTTTTTTCCTTCTTCTTTTTCTTGGTTTTTAATATAGCTTCTAATGTCCGGCGCGAGGGCCACCCTCGTCGTATATGGCGAGATTAAAATATTATTAATTAAAAAAATTTACCGGCCATGGCTAGTGACCAGGCCATCGCGAAAAAAATAAAAAAAATATTATTAATAAAAAAAAAATTTACCGGCCATGGCAAAAAAAAAATATTGTTAATAAAAAAAATTTTACCAGCCATGGCCAGCGACCAGGCCATGGCGAAAAAAATAAAAAAATTATTTTCAATAAAATTTTTTTTAATTAAAATATTATTAATAAAAAAATTATTTATAAAAAAATATTTTACCGGTCATGGCAAAAAAAAATAGTAAAATATTTTTAAAAAAATTATTAATAAAAAAAATTTATAAGAAAATTTTTTACCGGCCATGGCCAAAAAAAATAAAAAAATTTATTTTTAATAAAAGTATTATTAATTAAAAAAAATTTTACCGGCCATGGCCAAGAAGGAGGAGAAGAAAAAAAGAAAAGAAAGAAATATTAAAATATTTAAAATGTTATTAAAATATTATTAATACAAAGAAATTTTATGCCGTTACCAAACACATTTCTGTTATTTTACTATTTCAGGAATAGAAATTTTGGGCCGTTACCAAACGCCTTCAAATGCTCAGAATCAGTTCCCGGACACAGAATCAAAAAGAATCATTTTTGACCAAAATCTGTTCCTAGGTACAGAATGGTTGCCATGCGCAGCCCTAGTGTACTTATCCCTTTGCTTGGTAATGGTTTGTTGCAACTATTGATGCAAACCATGAACAAATTAAGGAGTTGTGACAAATTCATGAGTGACTATTTAGGCCATAAGTTATAAATAGTGATCGTTTAAGTGCCAAGTTTTTCTGAAAGTGATCACTTAAATGCCAGTCATGGTTGAAAGTGATTATTTAAGTGTCAGTCTTGGTTAAAAAGGTGCTGGTGCTAGTGCATGTTGTTCTTGCACAAGCACAACTGCTAGTGCGTCTTGTTGCACCAGCATCCAAAACTACACGAGCTGTTCTGGTGCATCTTGTGCCTGCACCAGCACATAAAACTGCTGATGCAAACACTGCACTAGCACCAACAAATGCACCAGCACCCACAATTTTCAACAGTAACATAACATGAACCCATCACTTCTAAAGACAACATCAACCTCATCACAACCTTACATTAGGATACAACATAACAACCATTTGCATCACCAGCCAAAACCACAGCACCACTCTCGGCCACCACACCACCGCCACCAGCACCACCACCACCACTAACACCACTCGGCCACTAGCAACACCAAGCCGTTGGTGCAGTCTTATGCTTGCTGGTGCAAGCAGAATGCTTTGCACCAGCATGTGCTAATGCATCTTGTGCTTGCACCAGCACATACAACTGGTGCACTGCACAAGCACCAGCACCAAGCATAACCTACACAACCAAGTCCAACACACTAGCACAAGTAGGAACACCAACATAGCCAAAAGCAAAATATGGAAATGGCAATAATAGACAAAATAAATATCAGTACATTGACATTGAACATAGTCTTTACATTTAGTCAATATGAATAACCAACTAATACATATTAACCTCCCAACAAAAAATAGAAACTACCATATGCACAACCTCCCAATAAAACACAGAAACTACCATTTCTAGCACCTCCTCTCATCAGTCGTCAATATGCACAACCCTCCAGTCCCTTCCCTTTAGATGGACCTCTAGCTTGAATCCTTGCACTCTTTCTAATTGAAATTGGATTTGGAGGTTGTTGTACTGGACTTGGAGGTTTTGGAAATAGACTTGGACGTTGTTGTACTGAAACTACATTAGGCCTTTTCTTCTTAGCCTATGCTCTTGTCTTTGGACATGCCTATGCTTTATCTTTGAACCTGCCTCCTGTGCTCTTGTTATTGGCCCTACCTGTGCTCTTATCTTTGGACTTGCCGCTCGTGTCGTTTGTTTCAGAGCACTCTTCTTACTGGATTGTACTCTAGTTAATCTTGGTCAGGTTCTTCTTTTGGGTGCAGCCCTTGACTCTTGACTTAGGCCACCTTGAGAGATGAGCACCTCTGAATTTCTCCCAGGTTACAAATACATAACCATATTGTCAACAACTATTGTCGTTTAGTAGAAAAGAAAACACATATATTGTTTTGTGAAAACAAAGCAACATCGAATTATTTAAACAAATAAAGGTCCCCCACCACAATTGCAACATCACTATTGATACTGTGATTAAACAAATTGAGGACCCCATGACTGCAAGTTGATAATGTGAAACAAATTGAGGTCCCCACAGCTGCAAGTACCATCGTCCCCACGAAAGAAAGTGATATTGTGATTAAAGAAATTGAGGTCCCCACCCACAATCACAATCCTACTTTTTCCCGAGCTCTAAATTGTCCCTCCGAGCCCTAATTTTGCCATCGGATTCCTAATTTTCGCCTCAGAGCCCAAAATTTTCCAGCAACTGAGCTAGGGAGAGAAAATCACAAACCTGGGTTACAGAGACGCAACGGCAAGCGACGATGGTGATCGAGCGAGTGACAACAATGACGAAGTAAGCGGCAACAATGATCGAGCAACGATGAGCAACAAGGAGCGACAGTGATGCCAACGAGGATGCCAACAACAATCAGTCTGAGATAACAAGATCTTGAAGCCATTCGACGTCGTCCAGGTGAGGGAGAGGGAACAACGTCGTTTTGACGCAATCCGCCACGTAGGAGCGTGGGACGCCATTTTGGATGTCCATGTGGAGAATTTTTTTAAATGGTATTCCACCTTAGCATAAATTTATAATTATAAATGCCACGTAATTAATTGGCCGGAATTTCTCGCTGTTAGCACTTAAATAATCGTTTTTACTCCGACTTAGCACTTAAGTGAGCCAGTGAAAACTTTAGCACTAAAGTGAGCGTACACAACTTTTGGCACTTCTAATGTCCTTTTGCCAATACCGGGTTGTGTGGGACTCATAAACGAAGAAATCTTATTACTTTGGCCACAAGACGAGTTAGGGAAGACATGCACTAATCTTACAAGGGTTTGAACGCCAGACGGATCTCAGTTACTTTCATCGTGAGAAGCACTCAGACTGCACTCACCGGAGCGATGACATAAACTTTGGTCAAACAATGATTGCCCGAAATGAGCAGTCTTCCTATCTGCTCAAGCATTATCACTACCGTCCATGGTTTGCGCATTTACTTTGAGTAAATCAACTCCTTGTTTCCTGAGTACATGAATGGTAAAACTTTTCACCAAGAACGGAGTCAGTTCCGACTAGACTTAGCAAATTAGGACTAGAGATTCTTCTCCAGTTAAGAGACTACTAATTTTAGGATACAGATATAATTTGTACTCCTTCATGGAACATTAAATGCATGAGGGACACGACGAATCAATGATCATTTGAGAAGGGTAAAGGAATTTCTCTTTCGACTCTCCAAACACTCACGCAATAGGAAGCCCTCGAGAAGTCGTGCTTCAACTCTCTTCATAGTCGTCTAGACTGCAACCTCAAGAATCTGTCCATTAAAAACGGTTTTCGATTCGATCAGGTGGAACAATGTCTACTTACGGTGGAGGATGTGATGGATGCAGATGAAGTCTGCTGTACTGTAACAGCTGTGGGTGTCACTCCTCATGGTAGTGTAACCTACCAGGGCGAAGGGTAAATGGAATTGGTTAATTGAGGCTTGCTTATCAATAGAAAACCACACATACCATTCTCTCATTCATCTCAGGTTGTTTCTTGTCTAGTACTGACCATTGCTCTACTGCAGATACAAGTACAAGACAGCAGAAGACACGGTGACCGAAAGGCTTCACGCAAAGCTTGCGGCAATTCAAACTGGTACCGCCGAAGACGACTTTGAGTGGACTTCCACGATTAACCGAGCTTAATATCAATTCTCTAATGCCTACGAAAATGTAGAAATTAGCTTAGCTGGTATGTACTAGAGAAGTGACTCATATTCCGGAGGCACCAAAGACATCTTCTCTACTCTTTCTTTACATTGACATCGGAAAGAGAGAAGAATCATTCCTTTTTCTCTTCTTTCATCGTCTTTACATAGAGATGCAGTACGAGAAGATTTTTTTTTTGGTAAGGCAGTACGAGATGATTTTGATAGTCGTTTCATCCAAGAATGCGTGGCAGAACAAGTTATACTATAAACAAATCTCTCACCCTATCCAATTCTTTCAGCGCGCAAGCCTAGTTAGTTCAAATATGTTGCAAGTTACCGGACTCGAACATATCTCTAATAGATACTACCACAAAACAGATACGCAAGCTGTCTGAGCAAAGTCCAGGCGCACCTAAGAAGTATACATTTGCCTACAAGAAAGATGAATAAACGCACTTTTACAGCATTGACCTCAGCAATGAAAGAAATCTGATAAAAAGCATTATGAAAATTTCATCTTGATTGTCTGATTTGGGTCAAAAGCATAACAAAAATATCGTTCCAAGTGTCAGTGATTCCTGGTAGGCACCAATGCATGCAATCATCGTGTTTCTTCCCACCAAATGTGGATGGGTGAGCATCAGCTCTGAACTCGCTCAGGTGAGTAATATCCAGCACGTGGAAATCTGAACCTTTAAGCGCCTTGTAGAGGTGCCGGTTAACAAGGCGTGCCTCCACATTAGTTCCGTTATTCTCAAGTGCAAAGAACTCTTCGACCTGAAGAAGAATGAAGACAACAAATTATCAATAGCCATGAATAAGTCGCACACAGTAAGTGAAGAAGCAGCTGAAGAGTTGAATCAAGATAGCAAATGCAAGCGATGCTTAAACTAAAGAAGCATTTCAAGAGTATTTAGTATAATCTTTATTGATAAAAAAGAATGAAGCATTTCAAGAGAACTCGAGAACCTAACCTGTTTTGGTAATAAAGGTTTAGAACGTGGGCAAGAACCACCTTGGTCCCAGTCTCCTCCCTCAAAATGTCTAGGTGATTGAGTACGGAAGAATTTGATGGCATCAGACTTTGCTTCATTGGTCGCATGCTTCATCTAATGGACAACCGAATCAGCAGAAAATTCTTTTGGTCAGTCACGAATATTTGTCACGAGTTCTCTATCTATAGAGTAGCTGTATAACTTGTATAACTTAAATGATTTTTGGTCGAGCGCTAATTAGATCTTAAATTTCCAAACAACAATTGGAAAGTGGAAAAGAAATAAATGCATGGCTTGAACCCTGCTGGACTATATGCCGATTTGTAGGTGAGGATTTTATCACCCTTCTACTTATGACTTCTGCTCGCTTTAAATACAACCTGCTATTTGGCATAAAAAATAACTCCCTACAAGCTAGCATCAATACTTCCCTTGCTTTTAAACTGTAGTTTTGGCTTTTAGGTGGATATTAATATACAAAATGTCAAGGTCACCTTTTTGATATGTGAAAGCTCAATTTACATTAATACTATATCCTCAAAATCCGCAGTAAACAATCTCTCTCCTCTTTGGAGAAAATACCATAAGAGCATTTTTGATTAAGCACTCATTCTCAAGAAAATTCCAACTGCCCAAAAGACATTATTGACTAAGAAGCTTATGTTGAAGTGTTCTGTTCAGCTTTCAATGCTATCGGGCATCATTAATTTTCATGCTGATATCCTAGATTTCAAGCAGTAGAGGAACATCAAACACATCATGCGATGTTAATCGCTGAAACCTAGTGGCATATCTAATCTAATCAAGCATAACTGCCATAATGAATAAAAATATAAGAAGGCATACCATGTTTTCTAGAACCAAATCCAAGCCGATATCGGGTTTTACCGGAGGGATCAGCGGCTGACCCTTTCTGAAGAAAAGCATGGGTGACTTTATTGGGTCAAATTTTGAAGGAGCCCACCACCTATAAGCAAAAGATGACACGCCATACATTATGTCAAGAAATGCTCAAATTTGCAAGTTTCAATGCTGTGGCTTTTACCAGGAGAAGCAATTGAAGGGATGGGAGGTAAAGGGTGAACAATGTATAGTCTTGCATCCTAAATTTTAATTTCACATAAAGACCCGGAGGCTTCCTAATCTACCTATTTAAGTCTTTGGAAAGCAGAAACGTACAAAGATTTCTTAGTGTTCTCTTTTAGTTCAAGATGCACCAAAACTTGCAGCTTGTCAGGGCAGATTGATGAGCTGGAGAGCTGCCGAAACTTGGAACACAGCAATATTTGTACATCTAGTCCTCAGTGTATTAATTTGATGACAATCTTCCCCCCCCCCCCCAACAGAAAAAAAGTAGAACTTGTCTTCTCGGTCTTGCTTCTCATCCATCTCCTCACCAATCAATCTACCAAAGAAATTATCTATTAAGGAAAAAGAAACTCCAATCAGCACACATGCTAGACCAGCAACATCATTCACGACTAATATCCATTGCACTGAACAGCCCAATTAAAACAACTATAAAAAAAATAATAGACAATCCCAGTGGTCAGGCAAGGCCTGCAAATTGTGTGGCAGTACGTAGAATTTAATGGGACTGAATCAAAGAAACTGACAGATGTTGGGATGGATGAACACAAAGGATGCAGAGAAACTATGCCAAAGGCTCTTCTCAGAATCATTAATAAAAACAAAAACCCAAGGTTTGACTCCTGATCCAGACTTTTAATTGACTAAATTACAATTGATTTAGCATCCACGAGTCAAATCAGGACAGCAGCTACCATACACAATTCTGCCACCTTGACTATCAACGATGATGAAGCCTTTTTCTAGGTTGGCCATGCAGATAGGGGAAAGACATTTTTACCAGTGCCCAGTATTGAATATTAGAATATCATGAAACCGAGGAGCTGCAGCCCATGTCCCTTCTGGAAGATCTACATCAACTCTATAACCTTCCTTATATCCAAGGGACACCAGTTCCCCATCATCGTCATTAGCTGACCACCTGCATTCAACCCAAAGCAGAGCAGCCAGAGTCAATAAGCGAAACACCAAAGCTTATCCAGTTTAATGGGTAAAGCGAATCAACTTTGGAACATTAAAAATGTTTCAGAAATTAGAAAGTGCAACCAAAAACAAAGTGGAGAGAGACCACATTTATGTAAGATCCGGTCAAACCAAGTAAAATCAAGCGATGTTGGATAATACTTTATAACCTCCTCTCACATGCAAGCCAGATTGACACCGTATGGAGGTACATGGAACGGATAGCACATATGCAAAATAAACTTGGGGCATGAAGGATGCGGAAGCCTGGCTCTGATATCAACTTATGGTTATATGCGCAAATGTTTACTCCAAAAGCTAAGCTATTAGAGTGTGGTGCAAAATACATTTTACATCTTAACACCAAACATCAAATTGACCTATGCTTAAAACAATTCTCTTTAAGATACACTTAAAGAACAAAACGAAGCTCGCATTTACAAAAATGGAAACGGTCTTTTAGAATGAAGTACCCAAGCAAGAACATTGCAGGGAATCTTTTACAGAAAGCAAGCTTGAGCAATTAAGAACTCAACAGATTAAGTACAACTTTCCCAAAGTAGCAGAAAGAATTCCTCTGCTGCTTTACTGCAGCCATATAACTGACCGCTCAAAGACTAAATGCCTTGTAATTAAACTGCAAACAAGTTTTCAAATGCCAGCAACCAAATTCATATTTTAAAATAGATTAACATGCACCTACAAATAAACGCAAAATAGATATGCATTAAAAAAAAATAGTTGAACAAAGAAAATAGATAACATGCACCTAAAAATAAATAAAGAATAGAACCATCTCACAGACAATACTTAAAGAAAGAATGTCACTGAAAGGTGCCATCATCCTCTTACCGACAATCACATCCATAAGTACACCACTTAGCTAAAGAATATAAGCCCACAGCCATGTTTCAGTTTACAGAACTTACCCATTTTCCTCTCAGCTTTTTAAGCTAATGGAAATCTATTTGCCGCTTCAAGCCTTTTAATATGCTCTAAAGCTGCTTAGTTTGTACATCAGTACAACAATCAAATTTTGATGGCTTCGGCTGAAGAGCCAAGCATTTTTAATAAATCACATCAAAAGACCACAGGAAGAGCTTCCAGACATCAGTATCTATGTTCTCCATTACCAGGACACCACAAGCTAATGATCATGCTCTAAGGTTGTTTAGCAGCACATAAGTATATTATAACGTGTTACTGATGGACAAATTATGATGGCTTAAGCTGAAGATGGGCCCAGCATTCTTAGTACACAACATTGTGCGACTAAATCAGTACAGGAAGAGCTTCCAGTAACGTCAGCATGTATGTGCTGCATTACCAAGACACCACCACCTAATCTCCCATCCCACCATTAAGGTAACATTCCCACTCTTCTTTTAGCCATCAATTACTTGCCAAATAATAATGCATCCCACCTTCCCTTGGTTGTTGCAAATAAGAACGCATGAACTCCCTTTGGACAGGTGAAGTTTTACCCCCAAGGGATGATCGCACTATAGGAGAATATTAGAAGTAAAAGATACAGCCAACTCTCACTTCAAATTCAAAGAGAAGGTTCCAGGCAATGGTTCTCTCAGCTAGCATTAGATTGGATCTACAGAGGCACTATCAGCATCAATACTAAAAATTATGCAACATTCATTATTCTTTAAAGTTTTATTTGAAGGTAAAAATGCTGGAAAGCCAAATGACTGAACAATCAGATGGAACATAATTCAGCTTCCGTTTCTCTCAAATTAAACAAGAAAAAGAATGTGGACAAACGATCACAGTCAGAAAGGATAGAAACAACGTGTAAGCAACATAACCATCATCATGTAAAACATAGCTTACCTACCATAACGAGCCAAGAGATTCGTCCTGTGATAAGCAATGGTGAGGTTGTACTGAAGAAATGTGAATCCCCGATCCGCACCGGCAGGCCGCCACTTCTTAACTTCGCCCGACACCTTCTTCAAAGCGCAGAAGAGAGAGACAAACATATTCCTGTTCAAGGAATCGCCAACAAACCCTGCACTGCTGAATATATCAGGTCCAGGGAAAGCTATGATCAACTAAATTCCGATCAACTCGGAATCAAGCGCCAAGCGACAACCGTAAACTTCCTCGGGAATTGAATTTCAGGATTCATGTGAAAACGTCACACAAAATCAATAATTTTACTGCAGAATCATTCAATTATGCGCCCGATTGTCGAGCTCTTGAATCATCCATTGCTACGATCACTTTCCTTCTTCTCCCAACACATTCTCAGCTAGCACGCACACGCGCATAACTTCACAGTAAGACACAGCACACGCACACAGCACCGAGACAGAGACAGAGACAGAGAGATAGTGTACCTATGTTGGTGTTCCTGTTCATCTCCAGAAACCCAACGGGATCGAGAGCGGGCAAATCGCAGGCCTCGGGCTTCCACCGCCACCTGACCAAGTCGCGAGCGCCGGGCTCGCCGCCGGCGACGCAGTTCCATCCCTTGAATATCTCCCTGCAGGAGCCGTCGTACCGGGCCGATCCGAAGCTCGGGTCGTAGATCCAGGACCCGGCGGAGTAGTCGCAGGGCCGACCGGAGCCGGCGCCGGCGCCGGCGCCGGGTGGCGTCCCGGTTCACCTCGAGGGTCTGGTAGGAGCGGGCGGGGGTCGGGGAGGCGCGCCGGAAGAGGGAGAGGGCGAGGAAGACGGAGACGAAGCAGAGGAGGGAGAGGAGAGGGAGGAGGAGGGTGTTGGGCTTCGACCGGAGGTCTCTCCCGGTGGCCATGGGAGGTCGTTCCCAACCCCATCAAGCTCGCACCGAAACTACTTCAAGTACACAACGCGGAAATGGATCGCGCTTTCCCCGGTCGGGCCGGGTCGGGCCGGACCCGGATCGAGTTAGCCCGGTTTGTTTGTCATAGATATATCATTTTGGGGCTTTTCATGTTATTAACCTTTATATCTTTACGCTCTTACCCAGGGCTGTCCAAATTTTATCTTTGGTGCCGTCGGGGCCGAGGCGGTCCCGAGTCGTGGTCGAGTCTAGTTCACGGGCTCGGCGCCTCCAATGCAATTCACCGAGAAGTTTATTACTCCTCGACATCCAAATCCGTCTAATCGTTCGTACAAGGAAGGAGCATTGATGTATAAGTTCAAGATGACCATGCTCGATCGTTCGAAAGATAATTTGGAAATTTCCAAGCTTCTAAGGATCTGTTTGTTTCACGAGAAATGATTTGAAAAACAAAATGATACTATATTGCGTTTCCGAGTCATGTTATCCGAGCATATCTCGACATTTTCATTCCCGGTGTAGTCCGGTATGTAAAGGCGGCCTTGCCGGAAACTGGAAAGGCAGAGATAAGAACAGGGGGCAATCCTTCTTTCTGTAGCAGAATCTGAAAGCTTCAAATGGCGAAAATAGTTAATACGCCATGCACGGAAAGCTTATTGTAACATCACAGAGCCACTTCAAGAGATACACGAGTGTCAAAGTAGCTCATTTTCTCATGAGTCGGGCGATAGACGGTAGTGGCTGCAACCGCTTATTTGCCGGTCGCTGCAAATTTGTCACCCGATGCTTAGAGCAGTAACAACACAGTGCAGAACGCTGTCAATTTCCCCGCATAGACACTGATAATCCACATAGTACATGGTGATGTGCATCGATACCGTCTCCCAAAAACCAAACCGACGTCGCTACAAACAATCAAATTCATTATAAACCTTTACTCAGGCATTCCAAGACTGGAAAACGAAACCAGGCTGTCTACGCATGAAGTTTAGCTACACGAGGGTCACGATAAACACAATCAAAACGAAATCCCAGTAAATCCGACCACAATGGAGGACACACCAGTGACATAACTACTAGCAAGAGTTGCTGCGACATAATCCATCAACATGGAGTCTACCTTTACTTTAGACTGTCCAACCATCAACTTCTCTCCACCTCTATTTCAGCAAGAATCCGACATATTACAGTAAATCTGATAGGACCTCCATACAATATTAACCAAAGAAAAGACCATCATCATCAAAATTCATGAGCTATCATTTTCAATAAATTAGAGACTAAAGGTTTCAAACATCACAAAAGGAAACTACCAAGTAGCAGCTTCTTAAAAACAAACCTATTCTCAGAATTCTGTAAGGGTGGAAGCCAACTTGGTGCATCCTCCCCTGAATACATACTAAGCTAAACAAATGTAAGGAATCACCGCTAAAACTGATTGGGCAATCCAGTTGTCAACACAACCCTTTGGGCAGGAAGGTTGAAGGAGTTTGTTGCCCTGTATGTTACTTCGGAAGCTCGGAGAACAAGACTTGAGTGCGGGAATTTCAAGGCAACGATTTCAGATGGAAAACCTGGCAGGCCGGTTTATATGACCGCTTACTTGAAGCTTGGTCAAACTTCTTCGTGGCAGATTCATTTTCTTCCAGTTTGCTCTGAAAAAAGTACCTTATCCACCAAGATGAGCTCCGCAATTTGGCCTTCAAGAAAAGATCGTTTGCGTACTATAAGTGATGAGAATTAGTAATTCTTTAAAATCCACAGGTATATAAACTGTAAACCTTTGACGGGGGCTAGCACATTCTCTAGTGAGCAAACATTAAACACATAAATCACTGTATCATGATCTTTGAATATTCGGCTAAACTTGTCATCACTATACTTTCATCAACATTTTTTCTCCTTGTAAACTATATTTTGCCATCTCAAATGTGTTACTCAAACGTCTCCGGCATTCATACTCCCTCTGCAAATTTACTCTCTGCCAAAAACATAGTTTCATCAAATGCTTCAGGTTCAGTCATGGAATGGTAAAGATAGCACCAGTGACACAATAGAACTCCATCATCCTTCAAGCCTAATATTATTCAGGTAAGTAGGAAGAGTATGGACAATTTGATATCAGAAAGTGATGACAACTCACTGGACGACCAAATTTTGATAATTCGGCAACTTTAGGTCTCTGCTGACCTGGATAGCCTGCAAAAGGAACAGCAAAAAGAATTAAAATCAGTCACCATGAGAAGTGTAATATCAGATGTTCCAGCGTCCAGAGAAACTTCTACCAGCATTCTACAGAACAAGCAATTAACTCTTTTCCCAGTTAAAAATAGCTGATTAACAAAGAACGATGAAGTACCTACAATGTGCATGAAGGACTTAATGAACAGCAAAACAATAAATCAGTAGAATTAAATCATATAAGTCCATTTATTATGGGATCTTCTCAAAGTAAGAAACAACAAAATAACAAACAAGATAGAAAAGGACAGTACCATATTGCGACCACAAAAAGGAAAAAGGAGAGAAAAGAGGACCAAATCTTTTATTCAGCAATATTTTAGGGGGAATGGGCAGTGTTTTAATTTGGGCAATATTTAATCCAACATTTCAATGTACATATGCCCGCCTATAGTGGAGAGGAAAGAGATCCGGACATGTTAGAGGATAGGAGAATCGCACGCCTCTCTTCCTCCCTGTATTTATAGCATATATATTGCTATTATCAAGAAAAAAAATGTATTGCGCATTGCTCTGCCCAGCACCACCTTCTCATATCATTGTCTCAATCGCAGTCTGTATGTCTCTGGGTTTTCCCTCTGTTGCTCCCTTCATCCTCAGTGGTTTCCCTTCTTCATCCTCTCTCCCTTTTTCCTCTTTCTCCTCTCTTAGTCATGGCCATTTTTAATGCTACCCCTCTCATATCGACCAATTTCACTCCCCTTCCCCATCAGATGTCCATGTGCACTTTACCTCTATGTCTTCATGTCCGTCGACGATAAGAGCTCATCATCGAACTTCACTTCCCATATTTGTCCCCAACAAGCAAGAAATCATAATCAATGACTGGCGTGAAGTGTTGACTATTGTAATTTTAGGAAATGGGGAGCCAGAGTATGCGTGGCAAAGGCAGCTACGCTTAAGCTTAACGGACAGGGTGAGACAGCCCACACAATGGAACTTCATACCAAAAATCCTAATGAGGCCTTGCAGGATGCACTCAAGTACTGAAGAAGAGAAATGGGCAGATTACGATTCTCGGAGAGCATGCCCAGTTTATCCCAGACCTCAGGCGCAAGCTGCCCGACCACTGTGTTTTCAAGGAATTTCTCCCATTCGACAAGGAATGTGACTTCAATATTGCCAGAGAACTCGACCCGGGCACGCCGCCATTCTCCAAAACGTACGAAAATTGGAAGGTGGCCGAGAGCAACAATATCTTGGTGCTCAGCAATGACACGATGGAGGCGGTTTGGTGTGACATTCTGGCATCCAAGCATGGCATCGACAAAATGTGGTGGGGCTCCCAAAAGATGGAAGGATTTTGAGAGGTAAAATCACAAGGGAGACAGATTTTCTGTTCCCAGCCAGCAGTCAACTTCTGCGAACAACACAAAGTGCGGCTTGCGTTTGATCGGCAAATTGGAGGTCGTGAGGGCATTACTGGACTTCCAGTTTGGGTCAAGGGTATCAGTATCAGATTTTTTGTGAGACACAAATTAGTTCAGAGAAGATGTGTCATGAAGGTAACAGCTTGGGATTTATTGTGAGGTTGAAAATTAATTTGGGATAAATGTGTCATGGGATACCGGTTTGAAAATTTTTTATGATTTTAACCCTAAACTAAATCACATACATGTTTGAAGGAAACACAGGACCTGCACTTCCCATCAATTATGACGAAAAGGGACCATAAGATCTCTGGAACTTTACTAATTCTTCCCCTTTTCCTTCCCTTCTCAACATATTATGCACACATGCACTTGTATGAGCGCTCACAATCCACGCAAAATATACACATGTGATAGCACTCATATCTTGTGCATCCTGCCATCCAGTACTTCCACGTACTTATTTCAGGATTTGCAATCTCAAAGAATGGCAAAGCCATTTGGGTGATTTATCTAACATGCTTCTGCATAAATCAGTTTTATCATGACATACAAACACTCTATACTATGACATGTATTATAATAGGACTCTCCTGTTAAGATATCATCTCCGACTGCATTTGACTAGAGCACAAACCTTCTACTGGCAATTTGAAGAAAATGAGATTATATTGGCAACTAGATCCACATTATCTAATATGTATCCAAAGCCTACCATCAAAAAACTACACCTAGACCACATTGAATGAGGTTTTTATCAACTCTATCATCAAAATAACAAATCCATTTTGCAGAAAATAACATGGAAATAAATACATTACCTGTGAAAATGACAACACCATCAGTGGATACCCTCGCCAATTCCGGAATGGTTTTGTTAAGGTATCTAGGAGACAGGTAGTCCAATGCATCCGAAACTATGACAAGAGAAAAAGATTTTGCCCGGTAAGGAAGAGAAAACTTGATATCAGCTACCCGTACAATTGCTCTGCGAACAAGCCTTTTGCAGTTGGCCCCAGCTTCATCTAAATCATATGGTTCAACACCCCAAGCTTTAGTATCTTCTTCCTTTAATAATTGGGACACCACTGAACACGTGTCGGGACCTACATGCAACACTTTGTGCATGCTGTCACCATATGCTTTCTTCAGAACAGGTAATGCTCTCAGCACTTCAAGACTGCACGGTACACCACCTGCAAAAGGATCATGCTTCAACTTGAGATTTATGTCCCCTTATAATCAGTTCTATACATGGCACTAAAATGGAGATTGATGTCCTCAAAAACATTAGTCAGACTACGGTTTCCACCTTAACACAGTTGCATTATTGTAAAACCTCAAGTCATGCAGGATTGCTATACATATACTCCATAGAATATGCAGAGATTTGTTTGACAGGACACAGCAGTTTACAGGTAGGATCGGACGATCAGGAAAAGAAGGATTTAGTAAACAAAAGAAAAAGGACCATAATCCAATCATTGATGTAAAGAATAAAAGCTGGTGAGGCCGGAACATTATTGCCTGAGAACATATAAGGTCAGAGACAAATAATTCATCTATATGTCAGCTTATAATCACAAATCATTATCATTCATGAGCTGACTCGGGCTTACTGATGTGTCACTTCTTGGTATCGCCTAGCGGGTATTTGGTACAACACCAACAGATACTATCAGATGCAAGTCAAAAGAAAAAGTGGAGGTCCATTTTTGCTGAAAAGGACAAGATAACACTGGACACAAACAGTGGCTTGTGAAAAAGAAAAAAAGTATCAACTATTCCATACCAGTAGCATACAGGAATTTATGTAAAGAGAGGAAAGTGAAAAATTGTTGAACTTTACCTTCAATTCTACTTACAGCATCTCCATCACCGGTTGATCCTCCTGTCACACAAATCCAGGAGATTGATTCAGTCCATGAATACAATTAATACTGTTTATTTTACTAAAAACCTGAGCAAAGAATGAAAACCAGAATTTTGCAGTTAACATCCTATTTATTCGCCAGCCACCATTGTTTGCGACACTACTACCCCCAGTCCCTTTTGCTACTAAATCCATTGGGTGGTGCCGGTAAATGAACAACTTCTTAGACATGTTTGAGCTAGCGCAAATAGTATGGAGGAAGCTATTGCTACATTATCTACAACACAAAAAAGAGTGGGAGAAGCTAGATCTAGAAAATACTTTTGAAGGAATTTCTTCAGCAAATGATTTACCAAATAAATAAATCAAGTACACACCTGATCCACTAAAAGAGTAGCCAATCAGAAGGATTGCACCCTGAAAGTGTACAAGCAATCAAAGAGGTCAAAACAAATCACTTGAATTAGTATCAGCATTACTTAATCAATAGAAGCAAAAGAATATAAAGGAAAATGGGAATCCCTTCAAAGAAAGCAGAATATAAGGTTGTTAATATTTACAAGGAACAGCTTACATAAGAATGAGAGGAGACCAGGAAAGTGAACAGAAGAGAGAAATGGCAGGACTGCAACATACCACAACTAAAATTCCTATAGGTAGTAAAGGCGACGACCGTGTCTTGGATTGCATCGCACCTACGAAAGGGATACCTCCACCATCTGCAAAGCGCCTCGTGGCATTTGCAACCCTCCTCGACATGTTGAAATTATATTTTCAACCTGATAAAAAGGAAAAAAAGAACATTAGCACATGCGATTAAGTACAAAATGTCTACTGATAAATTTCATTTGGGATCAATTCCTGCCTCCCACTTTTCTCATTTTCCGTATGCATTCTTGCCTCGCGTGACCTAAGAGAACTCTCGTGAACTAACCCAGGTTTTGTTTTCCACAGAAATCGTCAATCTTGCATATCCTTCACAAAAACAGAGGACAAAACCGGAGTCCCAAAGCGATCTCGCAACCTAAAAATTCTTCTTCTTAAGTTAATCCACTCACGACCAATCTCCACAAAATGACCAAGCTAGAATAATTCGACAAAGCTAAGATTAAACAAACCCCAAAACTCAAACCCCAGAGTCGCCACACAAACTGGGTCCTCCCAAATCCAACACTACTACTGCTCAAAATGCTAAAGAGAATTCATGGACCAACACCGAAAGCAGCAGACACCCTAAACGAAACACCCCACGGAAGCCGCAACACAGCACGAAACGGCATCGCCCATCGGCCTCAACACGAGGCAAAAGAACAGCACTTGATAGCAGTTGATCAGAGCGCACAAAACACCGAATTCACCACTGAAAACCCATTACCTGTTGAGAAATTCAGAGGGGCAGGATCTTAGATCTGACCCAGTAGGAGTGCACTCTTCAGCTTCTTCACAGAGAGAGAGAGGGAGATTCTCTTCTCTTTGTGTCGTGCCCTTGTCCCACTGAGTTTGACTGTTCAGTTGCTTTATAAATAAAAGGGCAACTAAGAGGTGTTTACGCCCGACACATCGAAGGGTGTTGTTGTCCCGCTACGCTGTCGCGTTGCCAATTCCGTGATGTCTTGTTGGGTCCCTTTGCCAAAGCTCACAAAAAAGCAGGCTAAACGACGTCGTACGCATCCATAGAATCTCTCGTTCGCAGAGGTATCGCACCGCACGCCGGATCTCGAGCCGTGCCGGGCCTCCACGTTCGTGCCATGGCACGACGTGAAATTTTCCCCGTCGAGAATATGGAGTATCTTATTTACCTCCCGATTTAAATGCACTTTTAAATAAAGGATATGTATCTCGAGTTGACTCTATCATCCACTTATGTTCTTCTAGTCCGTAGATGGAGGTTGGTAAGTTCACACTCCTATGTTCACTTAAAATGGCTAACTTTAAATGATTAATAAAAATTGCTAAGGTTTGAAGTCCGATCGGATTGGGTCCAGATTAGATATCGATTGTTAAATTAAAATAGGCAAATACGGGTTAAATGAATCTATGGGTGAGCATCGGTTCATGGTAGACCTTAAAATCGTACCGAATCGACCCCTACTCGGTCGATTATGGTCCGGTTCCCGATTTTGAGTATGGAACCAAGGAACCGTACCGGATTGGAAAACCAGATCGAGAAACCATAATTCTCTCACTTTAGTATTATCTTTGCATCGTGTATTCCTGTAGTTTGTCGCCTTTGTCTCCGGTCTGCTCTACTTCGCCCACTTCTTCACATTTTCTCAACACAAATCAACCATTCGAAGCTCATGAGCCTCTTGTAGATTAGTCGCTCGGGTGTACAAGAAGAATAGAAGACGACTGAGCTTCATTTCTCCAATTCCAGCAAACACATAGGCTTTTCGAAGGCATTTGCACAGTACAACTGAAGAATCGGAGTCTCGAGCAACACTCTTGAGAAATAAAAAAAAAGTGTTGGCCGGTTCTCGTGTAAACCCTAGAACCGACCTTGGATTTATAGGATAGGTTCCAAATTTCGAAAATTGAGAAACAATCTCGACAGACCGTTTAAATTGAAACTTACCCATCTAGAAACTGCTCACCCAAAACTGGATCAATTTGGATTGGATCCATTTTCATCCTACTCAAATCAATCCGATCCATCCGTTTCACAGATCTATCGACAATTCATGATCAAAAAGAATTTCTAGCATTTTTCCAAATTCCGAATACCTAATTGCAATAGACTTTAGGATCGAGGGCGATAAATGTAAAACCTCCAAAAAATGGAGGGCCAGATTGCAAATTTGCGGTTTTGACCCTCTTCTCCTTCCCCTCCGTCACCTGCTGCTCATCGCAAAACCCTAAGCCCCCTTCCCCTTCCGCTCGGCACCGCCGTGCTCGCCTGAATTCCTTCGCTTCGCCGGAGAACATCGAATTCCGACCTCGTGCAGAAGCTCCGGCGGCATCCTTCGCATCTTCCGTTTCTCCGACGAAATGCGAAACCTCCGAGCATTGTGGAATCATCTCCGGCCGTGGCGCGCCGGCACGTCGCTGCGCTCCTTCTCCTCCGCAGAGACGTCCGGGAATGCCGACGCGGACCGGCTCTACGACGTGATACGGAACCTCTCGTCTCCGGCCGACCTGAAGCAGCACTTCCAGTCGAGCAACGTCGCCCCCCTGTCGAACGAGCTGGTCGATGGCGTGCTCAAGAGGTTCAGGTTCAGCCACGGGAACCCGCTGCGGGCGCTCGAGTTCTTCCGCCACGCGAACCGCCGGAGAGGGTTCGACCACTCCGCGTTCGCCGTGGACACCATGCTGTACATCCTGGGGAGGAGCCGCAAGTTCGATCTGATCTGGGAGGTCTTGACCGAGATGAAGAGGACGGATCGGTCCGTGATCACGCCGCGGAGCATGATGGTGGTCCTGGCCCGGGTCGCGAAGGTCTGCTCCGTGAGGCAGACCGTGGAGTCGTTCAGGATGTTCAGGAAGTTCGTTCCCGAGTTCGACACGGCCTGCTTCAACGCGCTGCTGAGGACCTTGTGTCAGGAAAAGAGCATGCACGACGCGAGGAATGTTTACCACGGCCTGAAGCGCCACTTTCAGCCGAATTTGCAGACTTTCAACATACTCTTGTCCGGATGGAAGTCTGCAGAAGAGGCCGAGAATTTTTTCGCGGAAATGAAGGAGATGGGTGTGAAACCTGATGTTGTTTCGTATAATTCTTTGGTTGATGTGTATTGTAAAGGTAGAGAAATTGACAATGCGTATAAGGTCGTCGAGAAAATGAGGGAAGAAGATATCTCGCCCGATGTAATCACCTATACTAGCATTATCGGTGGGTTGGGGCTAATTGGTCAGCCAGATAAAGCTAGAGATGTTTTGAAGGACATGAAGGTGTATGGGTGCTACCCGGATGTCGCTGCGTATAACACTGCTATTAGAAATTATTGTATTGCAAAAAGGCTTGGTGATGCGTATGGCTTGCTGGATGAGATGGAGAGTAAGGGTTTAAGTCCAAATTCGACGACGTGCAATCTGTTTTTTAGAGTTTTCTTTTGGTCGAACGACTTGCGGCATTCTGATGGCTTGTATGTGAGGATGATGGATGCTGGATGTCTTCCCAATACGCAGAGTTGTATGTTTCTGGTTAAGTTATGTAAGAGGCAGGAGAATGTGGACTTTGCCTTAAAGCTATGGAATGACATGATCGAGAAAGGATTCGGATCTTACACTTTGGTATCAGATGTATTATTTGATTTGCTCTGTGATATGGGGAAGTTGGCAGAAGCTGAAAAGTGTTTCCTGCAGATGGTAGAGAAAGGTCATAAGCCAAGTCATGTTTCCTTTAGGAGAATTAAGGTGCTGATGGAATTGGCAAATAGGCCCGAGGCCCTCCAGAACTTGTCAGAGAAGATGAGAGTACTTCAGCTTTAACAACAATTTCCCGAGAAATGTGATTGATGAACGATGCTTACCTTTGCATGCTGAAATTTGCTGTGCTGTGTATTGAGTTGTGTCATGTGCCTGATCATTGCATCAAAAGTAGCGGCACCAGATGCTTGAGGAATAACTTTGGGAAGCATTTGAAATAGGTAGGTTAATTGGGTCCATTTGTTGCTCAGCTACATCACAGCTAAAATTGCGGCTTCGTCCCAAGGGAAGCAAGTTTATCGCTATGAATATTAGTGCTATTTGCAGGATTTAATTTCCCAGTTGATCCTGATTGTGTGAGTTTTCTTTCTTCACTTAATTTAATTATCTGATTTTTGCAGAGAGAAAGTTATTAATTTCTATTGGACCTGGCGTGAGCAACAATGGCTTTGTGTTTATGAAACAAAGTGCTGGAAATTGTTTGCTCCAATTAATCGGGATTTTGTGAATTTTCTTTTTTCACTTAATTATAAATCCTATTTTTGCCAAGAGGAAGTGATTACTTTCTACAAACTCGACACAGTTTCCAGTTTCATACAGCTGTTTCTTTGCCAGTGTATGAATATGAGAAGCTTATGCAGGTATTTGTTCGATATATGTCGTAATTTCATTTACAGTTGAGATGTTATGTTATGGCTGTTTAAGAGTGAATTTGGCCTGCCTATTAAAATTTTTCTACATTCTCCTTACCTTTAGACATGGAGTTGGAACTTGTTGGTGAGTAGATAGCTTGTTTCTAATGCTGTATAAAGCTGTGAGTATGGCGCTTGGATTTGTTAGTTTTCCAGACTCTTATCCTAGTTTATTCAGGGTCAAGCTATTTATTTACTGTTATCTTTGTAGCTTATGCTCAGCTTCAACGACTGGAGAAAGGTGAAGAATTGGCACACGATGAAGAATTAATCATCACTGCTACACTTGAGCTCGTAGAGAAGATGACAGGACATGAGACCTTGGAATAGTCATTAATGCCAAGCTTGATGGATCTGTCTGGTACTTGACAATTTTGTAATAGTCATACATAGCTTTCTTATGCCAATAAAAAATGTACATTCGATATGGGTCAGAAATCCATTTTGCAGATCGCTAGAAGTTTCTAAATGTTACGTATTTGGAATTGTTTAATCAGTACAATTCTTTCGGAAGTTCGCCTAGTTAGGGGACTGTTGGGAAGATCAAACTGATGGAAGAAAGGATATCATGTCTTTTTGGAGATCTGGTAATTTGGTGAAACTGGGTACTACTTATCATAGTAGAGGATTAGCATACTAGGAACTCAGAAAGCGGGAATAAAAACCTTAAAAACAACTGCTGCTGTGAAAATGCACGGGGAAGTTTTCACTGCAGTAATGATTTTATGCCTATTTCCATGTGGTTCCGGTGTTGTTCTCTGCCGCTGTATCATGCTTCCTATCGATCTTACTTAAATGGTCAGTTGCATAGTTAAAACATTTTTCCAGGTACATTTCAGAATGTGTATTGACCTAGCACATACTGACTTCATCCTCTGTTGCAGTATCAATAGTCTAATAATGCTCCACAAGCTCCTGATTTGCAATGATGCTGCCATGGAAAGTCCCGAGTACAGGAACACTCTTCAATAATCAGTAATGAATGAGATCGACGATGTTTCATCTTTCATGTCCTGTGTCGGAAATGGGAACCGAGCTAACTTTTTGATAGTTAGTTTACAGCTTGGTGTAGCTATCCTGGTGTTTCATTGATATCCATACTTGTCTATGGTTGAGAGTAACAAAAGCGAGCGGAAGAAAATTCTGGATTTGCGAGCTTCCGCCCAAGCACTATTTCGGTGGAAGATTGGTAATGGATCCTGGTGTTTCGTTGTATTAAGTCCATACTTGTCTGTGTCTTGATGGAGGGGTTATTTATATGGTTTTTGAAGCTTTTTTAGGAGTACCTTTCCCGGCCCTTTTTCTGAGATCAAGTGCAATATCTTGTCTTATCAGCTTAACAAAAGAATGAAGAAGGAAAAAAAATGAAAATACAGAGCATCACATTCCTAGATTTCCATATATTATATTTGCCACCATTCTATTCCATTCTCAAGTCACTTCTACATCCGTCTGGCCTAATGCAATTCCCAATCCCAGTTCTCTATCAACCTCACATAGCATCAATAGATGGACCCATTTTTAACTAGTAATCTATGTATATTATGAGGTCTTTTTGTTATAATCTATGTGTATTATCGTGTATCCCGTATGTAATTAATCATTCCTATAATACATATCGTACCACCATAACTAGAGTTGAGCTATTATAAACACTTTGGCGTATCAATACCCATATCCCCTCCAATAAAAGAGAGGATCCCTTATTTCTTCCTAAAGAAGACAACATTGAACAATAGTAGATTATCTTGTTAATTGTGTATAAAGTGCAAGGTCATCTGTACATATAAAAAACATGGATTTACACACTTCATAAAACTTATAGGATGTTTCACAAAAGGTCATAAAAAAAAAAGATTAATAGTTCACCATTGTGCTAAATCACCAAAAGCAGGTAACCTGCAAAGCATGGCTAACCACCTTATAAAGCTGAATCTAGGCATGTTAGGATGAAACCAGACGAGCCTTATACCAATTGCAGTAGGTCTTCTTAGCAATGGTCAGACAGAGAACAACAACAGGACAAACGGTGTGCCTAATCACATATTCAAATATTAACCATTAAATGGGTGAAATCAGAATCATTAAATCTCAGTCCTTATTTCGAAGAACGGCGCAAGAAATTATCTTCATTAGTTTACATATCATCACAATCTCTAATACGATATTGTGCAAAGTATCTTGATATAAAGATTGAAATAAATCAATCACGATGCAAATATAATAAACGAAAATGCCCCATCTTAACAAAATCGTATAAAAACTCAAATACTCGACATAATCCCGTGTTAAAAAGCATTAAAAGAAAAAAAAAAAAAAAAAAGGCTGGCCCGTGCGTCGCACGTGATTCCGACAGGGCAGCGCCGTGGGGGGCCCCACGAGATTCATGTCCCTCTGCGGTTCCACGCGCGCCGGTCGTAGTCCGACGTGTCCGCCGTCAACCCTTGTTAGGGTTTTGCGTACTTCCACTTCCAACTCTCTTGGCGGCTCTCCTTCTCTCTGTTCTCTCTCCTGCCTCTTTGGTTTGCACTCTTTTCACGAAGGCTGGAAGACAGAGAGAGAGAGAGAAGGAGAATGGCTCTGCAGAATCACCTCCCCGCCGCGATCTCTTCGTCTTCCTCTGCATTCTTGGCATCCTCCAACTTGGGCTCTTCCAGGTACCCGTCTTTGTTCTTGGGTCTACCAAAAAAAAAAAAAAAAAGGGCCTTCTTTCTTCTGTTTCTTGTCTCTGGTTCAAGCCCGTGGCTGCGGAAAGGTCGAAGCTTTTTTAGTGCCTGGTTGCATTTCTTGAGTTATGCCGTCGAAAGGTGGGATTTTTAGTACTGGGCATTCGCTGGATTCCGTGTCGGTTTGAGTCTCACATGAGAGCAGAGCAATTTACGGAGTTTTCCTTGTTTGCGTGTGCTGTACTCGTTTCCCATTTTTGTGTTGGTGTTAACAGGGCTTCTAACGTCTCGATCCCTGCGAAAAAGATTGGAGTTGTCCGATGTGTAGCCGCGCCTTATGAGGAAAAGACCAGTAAGAGCTCTTCTCTCTCTCTCTCTCTCTCTCTCTCTTTCTCTGTGTCGGATAAGATCACTGAAGGTGGTATGAGGTGTCTTTTGATTCAAAATGTGATGGTGGAGTAAACTTTAGTCATTGTAGTATTGGTCCTTTAGGTAGTTCTTTTTTCTTTTTTCTTTAGTTGAAGTGAAACATCATGAGGGTTTATTTAAAATATTTCTAAGTTTAGGACCATTTAGAATCAGTTCAGAGTCATGGGAAGTGCCTTCCCTTTAGCTAGCTGACGGTTTGGACTTCTTGTTTTCGTGTGTCTGAAGCTTACAAGACTAAGGTTTTGCGCAATGCCAACATGGCCAAGCTTCAAGCTGGTTACCTTTTCCCCGAGGTCTGTCGCTATTCATTAATTTTCTTTTTAATGGTGTTGGATTTTTTTTTATTATGTAGTGTTTAACTACTGTACCTTCTTATGAGCGAACCACTGTGAACCATAATTCAACTTCCTGTACGTATGTAGAATCTTAGATAATGAATCTTAATTGATTATCTGGCCTGTCACCCAAAAAAGGTATTTGGGAGCTCTCGACTTGACAAACTTATCAAAAGTTGATTTTACTGAGCATCTAGATAGAGCTTTTGTTAACAATCTAGAAATAGTGTAGGGATGTACTGGAATTATCCCTTTCATTATTTTGATGGGGTAGAACTGCTGATCTTCCATTTTAAAGCTTGTATATCAGTTTATTGTGCTAAAGATTGTGAGTGTTCAAATGATCTGCTCTCAGATAATTCATCGCTATTTGAAAACTGGGCAGTCTTCAAGTTAGTTTAATTCATCTGCTAATGAGTAATTGTCAACAGGATTCAAGTTAATGGCTAAGTGATCAGGTTTCTTAAGTTTGTCACACCAATTCCAATTTCAGTGCTTGTGATGCTTTCGCCAGCCACAACAGAGCAAAGATTAGATGTTTCAAGATTATAAAAACGCAAGCGATGTAATGAATAATAAAGGTCAATTTTATTGCCAGACTTAGCATTAGGAAAAGAAACCTTCACAAATTTGAAATTTGATGATTTCATCTTGATGCTTGATTGAAAATATAATCAAATGCTTCAAACACGTAACTTACTTGTCGGTTTCATGCATCATTGTCATTGTATCAATTTATTTTGCTTTTCTGCATAATCCTTTTCTAGTCGAACAAGAAACTCTCTTATTTTGTTGAGACTATTCTTGTCCTGTGTATTATTTGTATAGCTAATCGTTTTTCAATTTAGATTGCTCGAAGAAGGGCAGCACACATGCTAAAATACCCTGATGCGCAAGTCATTAGCTTGGGGATTGGGGATACTACTGAGCCCATTCCAGATGTTATCACGTCGGCCATGGCAAAGGTGCTGCTATTTTCTCAGGACGATGCTTAGTCATTATTATTTATCTAGTCAGATTCTCTGTAATTTTGAACCAAAAACGGAATTAATAGAACAGTAAATCTGTTGGGTTAATTCTTGTGGTTAGTTTAGATCCTAGTTAAATTTCATTCAATCACTACTATTCAGTCCTTTCTGATTCAGGTTCTTATTGTTTATTTGCCCATTGTCTTGTAGCTAGATGATATTTTATATGACCCCTCACTCGAGTGGTTGCCTTTCTTTCAGTAATTTTCAAATCTTTATTGATTTGTTGGTTGATGAGATGGAAATAAGGCACCCCTTCTTTTGGATTTTTTGCACGCTTTACCATCATTTACTGCAAAAGATGGCTGGAGAAAGTTATGGCACAACTTTGAATGTCTTTATTGTACCATGAAGCCACAAAATGCCGTCATTGAACTGGTGATGTAAGTGAGAAATGCCTATTATTGTCACAGGAGGCCTCTGGTTAGAGATCATTCCATACGGACAGTTCTACTTGTTGCTTTCGTTTCCCTCAAATTTCATACAGTCAATTGTGTAATACTTCCTGGATGAATTAGTCATGCTCTTTCCTTTGATTTCAAGTTCACTGCTTGTCTTGGTTGAATTTGTTGTTGCGTGCTTCAGATATTTGTTTCAACTCTATGCAAACATGCCTATGTGATGATTTAGAATCTCTACTTATTTCAATGCTTGGCAAATAGTTAAGTTCTTTAAATTTGACAGAGATCTGATGCACTGTCAACTTTGGAGGGTTACAGTGGGTACGGTGCAGAGCAGGGTGAAAAGGTACTTTTTTTAAACCACTACTCTTCTCTTGCTGGTTATATTTATTGAGTTTGGAACCTTTATTTTCTAATACCGCAGACGTGATATATACATGATTGTCACTTCATACAACTTTTGATTTAACAGTATTGTTGTGCATTAGTTTGTTAATTTACTCTTGAGGTCAAATTAGACGAAAAAATCCTTCTACATTTTAGTAATGTTATTAAGAGTTTCCTTTGTTAGAATAATTAAATATTAAACCATGCCTTCATCTAATAGCTTAAGCTTTTAGAACAGTTGGTAGTGGTCTCACAAAATCTTACATGGTATCAAAGTTGGAGGTCATGAGTTCAAATCTTTCCAGGCCCCATTTGTCTCCCCATTTAAATATGTCCACGCTTAGTACTAGGCAAAAAGACCGAACTAAGCATGAGGGGAGTGTTAGAATAATTAAATATTAAACCACGCCTTCATCTAATAGCTTAAGCTTTTAGAATAGTTGGTAGTGGTCCCATAAAATCTTACATCTTCAATTGATTTTCATGGCCCTGCATCTGTCTCCATTTCCCATTTACTATTCACCTGCTATGTGCTTGCAATGGATAGTAGGATATGCTATTTAAATATGTGTAAAAAATCTGATTGAGGAAAAGTACAGAAGTAGAAACAAGTGATGATTTCCACAAAGTGCTGTCAATAACACGGATCCTCTTGTATGATCAAGCTTTATTTAGTATCAAACTGCTCAGTAATCAAGGACAGGACATAATTAAGCATATCATTATAACCAAATCTCGTGAATATCTAACCTAAGCTAGACATCATTCTAAGCTTTTATTTGATTTGATGACCTGTTATGTTACCTATAAGGCATTGTAGATGTGTTTTCCTGAGTTATTTCATAGCTCACTGTCTTCAAGAGAGATTGCTGACGTTAGCTTGGTGGAACTTAAAAGGAAAATCAAAGATATAATATGCTGAGTGATATAGTAAACTTTAAAGTCTTCTTGCTACTATTGGAATAGAACCAACGTAATGTCTTTCCTAATCTTGCAGCCATTGAGAGCTGCAATTGCTTCGACATTCTATAGAGACCTTGGCATAGGAGAAGAAGATATCTTTGTTTCAGATGGGGCAAAATGTGATATTTCTCGCCTTCAGGTACATCTTGTCTTGCTCCTGGTGGCCTTTTACTTGGAATCCTTTCCTACGTGTGTTTTGTTATTGACTGCTGGATCAATGCATGATTTTTAATTTGTGATTACTCCATCTCGAGGAGGTTCTTAAGTAGCTTTATTTGTCTTTTTTGGGCACTATTTAGTTTTCTTTGCTCATGGCAGGTTGTTTTTGGGTCAGATGTTACAATGGCTGTGCAAGATCCATCATACCCGGTAATCATGATCTCTCTAGACGAGACTATATAATCTATGTTTGATTCTGTCTATATATTGTATAAAGTGAAGACTTCAGTCTCCTGATTGAACCCTAGCATCTGAGTCAGAGTATTGGTCCTCCTTTGTTTTAAGTGAGAAACGACAAACAGTTCGGGAAGTTCAGATTTTTGTTACTTCAACATATGAGAGAAATTATTGTGTCTCCATTGGCTGCATTTAAAGAGTTGTAAGCTTTCTGTAGGTAAGTTGAAGCATTTCATTGCATTCTTTTTTTGAGATGAATGTTCGGATTCGGTCATGTTTACAGTGCCTCGGGGCACAGTATACCTGGGTTGTAAACACCCATCAAATGTGGTGAACATGTTTTTTGTGTTGGTAAACCTATGAGAGATGTGGTAACTTGTTTATCCAAAAAATAAGTTACTTTACTTCTCATTTATTTACCAACTAAATGAGAACTTTTTTAGGCGGTTGTACCACATTCTGCCCTGGTGCATCATAGAAAAACCGCTTTGGATTCTGTATGTCTTTTGTAACTTGTGGCTTCAGTAAAGTTTGATGGAGATGCTGTCCTAGATAACATGTTGTAAAACTCTGATTGGAAATAGGGCAGCTTCTTGCTGGTTAATATGTCGTGTCTATCTTGACTTGACATTTGGTAACAAATTTTGGCACTTCTGTATTTTGTAGGCTTATGTAGACTCGAGTGTCATAATGGGCCAGACAGGGCAGTTCCAACGAGACATTGAAAAGTATGGAAAAATCGAGTACATGAAGTGCACGCCAGAGAATGGTTTCTTTCCTGATTTGTCCACTGTAGCTCGAACAGATATCATATTCTTCTGTTCACCAAACAATCCTACTGGCTCTGCTGCAACGAGGGAGCAACTGACAAGGCTGGTTAAGTTTGCCAAGGACAATGGCTCCATTATCGTCTATGACTCTGCATACGCAATGTACATGTCAGATGACAACCCCCAAAGCATATTTGAAATTCCAGGTGCCAAAGAGGTAATGCTGAACTTTCATCTGAGTTTTCCATTGCAAGTTGCTTTGTTCCTTTGCATCGGTTCAGTTACTGGGATGCTCTCTACCAAATTGTGTTGATATATAGATCTGTATTCCTATTGAGAACATTTGTTATCCTTGTACCTCAACTTGTGCTTAATGCATTTTTTATTAACCCTGTCAAATTTGCTGCGGTTGTTGAAGGTTGCACTTGAGACATCATCATTTAGCAAGTATGCTGGATTTACCGGTGTTCGCCTTGGTTGGACTGTGGTTCCCAAAGAGCTGCTGTTTTCAGATGGTTTCCCTGTTGCTAGGGACTTCAACCGCATTGTCTGCACTTGCTTCAATGGGGCATCCAATATTGCTCAAGCTGGTGGACTGGCATGCCTTTCACCTGAAGGACTATCCGTGAGCTTCACTGTCCTATCTTTTTCAATTAAATGATGTAACTCTAGTGATTGCTGATTACTATATACAACCCTTTTTTAGTTGGCCTCGGGAGGGCTACCTATGCTGTTCTTATAAGTTTTCATTCATAATGAATTGAAGTTTTTACTTCTTGCAGGCAATGCGTGAAGTGATTGGTTTCTACAAAGAAAACACCGAGATAATTGTGGATACATTTAGCTCTCTCGGATTCAAGGTATATGGAGGGAAGAATGCACCTTATGTCTGGATCCACTTCCCAGGGCGCAGCTCTTGGGATGTCTTCGGCGAGATTCTCGAGAAGACTCATGTAGTTACGACACCCGGCAGCGGGTTCGGACCTGCTGGTGACGGATTCATCCGGGTTAGTGCTTTCGGACACAGGAACAACATCCTTGAGGCTTGTAAAAGATTTAAGCAGCTATACAAGTGAATGCCATAATTGGATTGTCTCTGCTGCTTTAATGTCGGGGAAGTAATTGGAAGAAAGAAGAAAGTTGTAGCCAGAGAAACTTGTATTAGGATTTTATATTTCCTCCTCATTGGACTAGTGATTCCTGGTTATGAGAAATAAGAATCATTTGATCATTGATGAAGATAAGACAGTGCTCGTTGTAATTTTCTTGTGACTGCTTTTTAAAGCGGAATGAAGCTGTGATCGCATTGTGTCCTTCCAATGGCATGAATTTCAGCTTGCTGATCGTTTGTCAAGCGATTATAGACACAAGTACCCTGAAATGCCAACTAACATTATTGTAACATCTATGTCGTTGGTCAATAATGTTATCAAATGTCGTTTGCGAAAAATCGAACTTTGGAATCAGCAGAATCGGATGCCTCTGGTAGAGATGGTGGAGCTCATCTCATCTCCAGTAGAGGTAAAATCCGTCCCCCACGAGATTCATTCGTCTACTCCTACTCAAAAGTTTGAGTTCACCAAAAATGTCGATCTTAAACTGAACCACCCTAAAATGGAGAAGATGTTGATTCAGAAAACAGGACGCGATATTGAACCAGGAGTCGATTTTTTTTACCAGTTATAGAGCCCCCACCGGATAGACAAAAGTGCAACAAGAATAGATCGAAACTGCAGAATCGTGTGTATATATCTTTCTTTTATCAATTTGCCAACCATAATCTGCAGAATCTCTGCAAATTTCTTGATTCCAGATCCATGTATCTAAAGGGGACAAGAATCTTATATGAGCTAGGGACGAGCAAGAAGTAATACCTTATCAGAAGTACTTGTGTTCGAATTTTGGTTCACATAATGTCCCATTTGGTTAGGACAAAAATCCAAGAAAAGAACTATGGCTATGCTGCGACTCTCTTCTGTTCTCAGAAGAAGGAAATTTTATTGGCTAAAATACAACTCCAGATCTTTCACTGGTTAACCCAAAAAGCTAAAATCATCAGTTTTCTACGGTCTCTAGGAACAGCTCTAATCAGGATTCAGCAAATCAGCTCCAAAATCGGATGCACTTTAACCACATGCGAGCCGGGATGGGCTCCCTCAAGGCTTATGCATGCCAATGTAGTGTTGTCTACTACATGAATTCCTAACGCAGAGAACAAGAATCAGCTTGAGGGCTTGGTATAAGCTGTTTTTCTTCGGTCTTTTGACTGTTTTTGCCTACTTAGTTGACGAGGACACTGTTGAGGCTGCAGGGCTCGGCCTCCTCTAGAATCTGAACCACCATCCGCATTGACGGCCTCACGGTTGGGTTGTTAGCTGTGCAACGGATGGCTATCCGGAGCACTTTAACGGCGTCTTCTTTTTGGGTGTCAGAAATGTTCGAGTCCACCAAATCGAGCAAAGACTTTTTGCTGCTCATGTTTCCACGCACCCATTGAACAATGTCCTGGTTCTCTTCGAATTCCGACTCGATTGGCCTCCTTCCTGTGACCAGCTCCATCAGAACGACGCCGAAGCTGTAGACGTCGCTCTTTTCATTGACCTTCATGGTGTACGCATACTCTGCAGCAAACGAGAGAAATGGAGTATTTGTGAGAGGAACAAAGAACAATAAAAAGTTGAAGGAAAGACAGCAGAAGCTCAGACCACCTATAGAGAACGAAGAGACGAGATCCAAAGTACTATGGAAGCACAACTCTTGTTTTTCCTTTTCGAATTGATCGCTACAAGAATCTAACCCAGGCCATTCTTGAAGACTCGCGGTCTAAAATCAGATTTACCTGGAGCTATGTATCCAAGAGTCCCTGCAATGGCGTGTGTCCAATTACCACCCTGACTGGCCTGCACGATTTTCGCTAGCCCGAAATCCGCTATCCTCGGCTTCCACTCTTCGTCCAGCAAAATATTACTCGATTTCACGTCACGGTGTATAATCGGCCGAGCGCATCCATGGTGCAGATACTCCAATCCCCGGGCAGCCCCTAACGCAATCTCATACCTCACCTCCCATCCCATCTTCATCTTCTGGCTCTCGTGTAGCTGGTCCCACAGGCTCCCATTCGGCAAGTACTCATAAACAAGCAGGTGGCTGTCCTCACTTGTGATGCTGCAATACAACTTGACGACATTCACGTGCCTAATCGAACTCAGTGCAGCCACCTCGGCATCGTACTCGGCCGTGCCTGTGCTTTTCTTGCTGAGGATGGCCAAACTGCTAGGATGGCTTCTCAAGCTGTCTGAGCTCGACGCCCAGATGTGCTTCACCGCGAGTTCTTTGCCATTCCCCAAGACGACTTTATACACATTCCCTGATCCGCCCCTCCCGATCAAGTTCTCGGTCTTTATGTAATCAATTATTTCCCTCTCCCTGAAGCTTAGTACACGGTACGGCTTCATGTTCCAAGAATCCGGCCTCCACAAACTGTTGACACTCTTGAGACTATCTCTTTGCTTTCTGAGCTTCACATACATCATCATTGCGAATACAATTAGCAACAAACTTATTCCGGCAAAGAAGCAGGAGAGGATAACCCCGAGGTGAGTGGTTGCCTGTGAACTTGAAATACATGGCTGAAATTGTTTAAGCCTCTGACTACACAGGCCGGGATTCCCATCAAAGCTATCGTGGTAGGCTTCTATTGATAGAGAGTCCGGTACAGGTCCGGTTAACCGGTTGTTCGAGAGATCGAGAAGGCTTAGCTTCAGTAATCCCAGGCTCGATGGGATTTCACCGGAAAGTTTGTTATTGGATAGGTTGAGGGAGTTCAGAGTCGGTAAGTTTCCGATGCTGTCGGGAATTTCTCCAGTCAATGAATTGTTTGAGAGGTTTACATCGGCGAGGGAGACGCAGGAGCCAATCGACACAGGTATGCTACCGGAGAGCAGATTTCCAATCAAATCGAGTGTATTCAATTTCGTCAAGTTCCCAATTGTCGACGGAATCTTTCCCACGAATCCATTCAAATTAAGCTGAATTGAGACCAAAGAAGATGCTTCAGACATTGCTTCCGGTAATTCACCTGAAAATTTATTTTCAGATAGAAATAGCTGAGCCAGAGATTTTCCCATTCTGATATCAGACGTTATCGATCCCTCGAGTTGATTCGCTGCAAGATCAATTATGATGAGATTCGGCAAGCCCCATATTCCAGCAGGAACAGCACCAGAAAGCGAGTTATTGCTCAATCGTAACCGAACTAAGGATGAGCAATTTGCATAGGTCGCTGGGATAGTACCGGTGAGCTTGTTATCCAACATAAGAAGATCAGTTGTTTTCCCATACTTGCACATATCCGGCGGGATACTTCCCGTGAGTAAGTTGTCCGAAACATCTATGTAATTGAAATCTGCCCACGAGCCAAGCTTTGGAGGAAGTGAACCGGTCAGCCAATTTGTGTAGAGAGAGATTTCGGTAAGATTCTTGAACTCTCCAAGCTCCTCTGGTATCTCCCCTGTCAACCGGTTCTCGAAAAGCTGCAAGGAGGCCAGACTTGTCAAGAACCTGATCTCTGAGAGATCACCTCCGAGCCCGTTATGTGACGCGTCAAAGTTCACGAGGCTTGTGAGGTTCCCAAGCCCGAGAGGAAGCTTACTGGTCAAGGTATTGTTGTAGAGCTCGAGCTGCCAGAGCCGGCCGAGCCTTGCGATGCCCCGAGGGATTTCGCCGGACAATTCATTGTCCGAGAGCTCGAGATTCTCGAGAAGCGTCAAGTTCCCGATGCCCTCGGGGATTTGTCCTCTGATGCTGCAATTGGTGAGGTAAAGCCAATACAACTTCTCCAACTTGATGACCTCCATAGGAAAGGGACTAGTCACATCAAAAGGGTTGTCTCCGAGGCTCAAAAAGCCAAGATTGGTCATGTTTCCAAGCGACTTCCACGGGAAGATCCCTGAGAACCCGCTGTTGTTCAGGTTCAAGAACTCCAAGCCGCTCAAAGTGGACAAATCAGGAACTTTCCCAGAGAAAGAATTGAACCCCAAGTTCAAGTACTTCAAGCTCGTGCAGTTCCTCAGATCATCAGTGACGTTACCGTAGACAAGATTCTCTCCAAGATCAATCTTTTCAAGAGAGCCAAGCGAGCATATCGAGTCGAAAGGGAGAGTACCCACCAGGCCCTTTTGAGAGAGGTTGATCTCAGTGACGAAACCATCTGAATTGCACACGATTCCGGTGAAGTTGCATTTGTCGTTGCCGACCCTCCATGAACCGAAAACACCCGTGCTCGATGGTGTCTCGAGCACGGACTTCAGTTTCAAGAGCAGCGGAAGCTCATCCGCCCCCGAGGCCGAAACGAGACTCAGAGAGAGGCAGAGCACCAACACTCGCCCGAAAAGAAGCCCGGCAGACATTCCGGCCGCCACGTCCATCGCGAGCCACTGGCAAAGAAGAAGAAGAAGAAGAAGAAGAAGAAGAGGAGGAGGAGGAGGAGTTCGTCAGAACCGGAAGAGGAAGAGCAGAGAAATGGAAGTCAAAAGTGCATTTAGCACGAGGAAGAGACCCAAAGAGAGAGAGAAGAGAGAGAGAGAGAGAGAGTTGAATACAGATAGCTTCACATGGCGAAACGAGAGAGCTCAAGAGTCAGACGCAGCCATGCACGAAGTCGCCGCTGGGCACGATGTGGGGTCAAAAGCGACAGACGAAAAAGACAGAGAGAGGTCGGTAGGTGACGATTTTCGTGATCGTTAGCTGCTAATAATTGCATGGTGATTGATTGCTGACTAATATTTGATTCTCCTTTCTCCTACTAATTAAGGATTTGGTCGAGAAGTGCCCGCAATAATCCCTCGTTGAGAAAGATTCAGACGGTGTCGTGAATACTGGACACGACCCGATATAATTTACGAATTACAGAGAAAAAAAACCCAATTCAACGTGACCCGACACATCTGAACCCAATTCAACTAATATTGATTCTTCTTTCTCCTGCTAATTAACCTCTTTTTAAAGAGGATTTGGCCAAAAAGCGCGTGTAATAATCTCTTGTTCAGAAAGATTAAATGCTGGGTATAACTAGATCTAATTTATGAATTACAGAGAAAAATCCGATTCAACGAGGCCCGACGCGTCTTATTGCTGTAAATTGAGACAAATCGTCACGAATTATAAGCACGATCATGGCGCAAATTGTTAATCCTAATTCTTGATGGTGGGAGAAGGGACACTCTTTGAAAGTCACCCTCCAGCCTAACATTCTTGGGATTGTGCCACGTGGAAAGTTTGCGCCACTGTCCTCCGACCACTCGATTTGAGGTGGGCGGGCCGGTGAAGTGACGTGGCCGCCATGATTGACTCTCCTTTATGTGTCTGCCACGTGGGAGGGAACGACACTTAATTAAAAAAAAAACCTTTTTTCATATTCATGTTATCTTTCTTCATAAATGACTCCCTCGGTGTAGATTTGTCAATATTCTTCTCCCATCAATTAAAAGAAAGTAATGGATTTTGAAAGTTCAAGAAGAAAACAATGGATTCCGATTTTTGAAAGTAGAAATGAGAAAAGCGCAATCCAAAACACGAATTAGTACGTTTACATATGATTATACGTCAAATTTGAAATGACAAGAATCCGTCGATGACATCATTTGAATCGTTATAAAAACCAATTATGATACTTGAATAGGAATTGCCTCCTAATTTAGGGGCTGTTTTGGTTGCAGAAGGGAAAAAAAAATCTCCAGAAAGGTATCTTTAAAAGGGGAGAAAGAGAAAAAAAAAAAAAAACCTAAGAATACAGGATGATGCTTACATATATCTCCGGATCATGAATGTCCGGAATCCATATCGTGCAAGGAGATGCGATTAATATGGACAAGAAGTGGCGATGCCATATATGCAAAGTGAAAGAGACTCATAGAAATAGCAGAGGCAAATAAAGTTTTTGCACATTTTCAGTTTTATAGACCAAATTCAATCACAACCATCAACTTCTATAGGTTCGCCTGGAGTGCACATGACTAAAGGCTTTAGCTGACCCTCTCCATGTGATCTTAGTAATTTTACCGGATATGAATTCGGGTTTTCTATCGATTTCCAATAAATAATGACCGCTTCAATCTACATTTTAATAGGTTTAATTGTCTGTCCACTATCAAACCCATTTTATGTATAATAGGCCTTTTATTAATGACCAACGAGTATTTGCGAGACATTTATTAATCAATTAACTAAAACGATTGCGAGAACCAATGCACTAATTTTATGTGCAATCAGGACTTTGAAAATCTAAGCTTTAATTTCAAAAAAACTTCGCAAGTATGTGGGAAGTTTGTTAATGAAATTCCAAAAACATATAATCCCCTTGGGTTGACACACTTGACTGGAAGTCGAGGCATCGAGATTTAGCTAAGAAGCAAGGGATCAAATGTTCAATATTTCAGCAATTACGTGCAAAACGCTATGAATTATGCGATCTGGGCAAGTTAAAGTCTGATTTTAACTAGTTCATGGGTTTTTTGGATTTCTTTACTCGTGCTCTTGAATTATAAAAAATAAAGTACGAAAAGTAAATTGTGACGACAATTCTTTGCCGGATAGTCCAATTAAAATAAATTAAATTGCTGAAAATGGACGTGCTAAAATGACTTGAAGAAGTGCCGTGAAGATATGTGTGATGGTGATGGACAGTGATTCCTACTCGGATGTCTACTCCTTCGGAGAAAAACGAAACAAAATCGTTGACTTGCCGTCCCCGATCTTTGTCCTTGCTAGTCCTCCATTGATGGTTGAGTCGTCTACTTTGACTAGGATTAGACCAATCGCTTCAATGCCAGATCTTCCCAAAAAGCATTTGCTCTGAAAAGCCGCAAAGTTATGATTAAATCTGCTTAATTTGAATCATTCGTCGCAAGTGTGAAGCTCTTGTAATAACAAATTAGAATGGCTATTAATTAGAGTAATCAATCCGTGTTGTGTCGGGTCAAAGCAGGATACCTAATCCGAAAACCACACGTTTAACAAATGCGTGAAGTTGCTTCTATACAGACATGATCTTTCTAATAGAGCGGATCATATGACACGCGCTACTAACATGATTATCAATGTGTCATCGTGTCGGTCGTCGACATGACATGATGCACTGATCTATGTATATGATAAACACGTCCATACATTGTATATCAAATAACTATAAAAGTGAAAAAAACTATATTTTTAATTGGTAAGTTTTGATTTATTGACTTGTATATGAAATTACATCCAGATTAATAAGTAAGGCAGATTGATGATAATATGTTCTTCTAGAAACATTCCATGAGATAAAAGGAGATGATTAAGTGTTTTTTTAAATGATGTGAAAGAAACGTGTCTAATTAATGTTAAGGGAAGTAGGATGGAATGGAGATTTGTGATGGTGAGGTTCATTCATAGAACTCTATTTTACCCATATTTTTTACTATGTATAGAAAAGTTTTGTTCTACAGAAAAAGCTTTTAGTCTTCAAACAACATTCCCAGTTACACCCCGACTCCTACAGGAAAGGAGAACGACACGACGGTTGTCCTACCCAAAAGACATAATCTCAAATATATAACCAACATAAAATTACTATCATAATATATATCCATCTATATATTCGATAAAATAGTAAGTCGGTTAAAGAATATTTTCTATAATCCATAAAACAAATATATACATTTCAAAACTCAGTTAAACTCGACAACTATCATCAAACTTACATACAATGGCCTTAGATCATATGCAAAATTCTACTACCAAAATTTCCCATCAATAGTGCTCTCATTCTACTTGCCACAAACTGAAGAACCTTAAAATGATGTAAGATAAATGGTATGGGCAACTCTAGCCCAGTAGGTAGTACAAATTGTTGAGGAAAACTCCTATTAATTTTGAAGTTGACAAAACCTTCCATGTTATTGTAAATCTGATACTTATTATGAACTAATTTATTCCAGGTATATATATTCTGGAAGCTCATAAAAATCTCTTCTAAACAAATCAAGCATCTACTATCTATATTTATAAAATAATATCTGAACTCATTTTTCCCAAATCTAGTATATAATGTACGTACAAGATTAGAATGTGTTATATCACTTCAACATAAATATATACATATTAGAAATATTCTTTCAATCAATTATATTAAAACAAGGATTAATACCACAAAAACCCCCAAACTGGTACACTTGTAACAAATTTACTTCAAATTAATTTTTGACCATAAAAAATCCCAAACTAGTACACATGTGACAAATTTACCTTTCGTTAGTTTCGGCTAAATTTTATTGTTAAATTGCTGATTTGGATGACACGTGGTAGTTAATGAGTGTATCAATTTGGGCTTTTATTTCTCTGTTTGTCACAGGTTTAACATTTTGTGATTTTTTATGGTACTAATCCAATATAATGGAGGGTAAATTTGTCACAAGTGTATTAGTTTGGGGTTTTTTGTGGTCAAAAAATTGGTTTGGGAAAATTTGTCACGATTGTACTAGTTTGGGTTTTTTATGGTAAAAAGATTAGTTTTTGGTAAATTTGTCACGGATGTATCAATTTAGAGTTTTTTGTAGTATTAACCCTTAAAACAAATATCAACGGTTCAATCCATTGATCAATCACATACTCAATATCCGGCTACGGTGACGATTAACGCCTTGTGACAAGGCAACTAAGATTCCTGTTTAGCTAGGTATCCACTTATTTTAGCCGATGGCTTAGCCTAGAAAGATATCCAAAAAACAGTATGCGTACTTAACCACTCAATAGGTTTTAAGCATAGCGACATGAGCATAAACTACTAGCTCATCCTCCAATACCCACAAATCAAATCCAAAATCCATCCCATAAATTAAAATACATTTCACAAACCATAACATTCAATTAAACAACAAGAATTCATTTCTTAAACTAGGTTCATTAATTAGTACTTATGGCCTCTCGCAAATCGTTTCACAAAATATTTCTCAACCATTTACAAATATTTAACTCAAACTAGTTCAAAGGATATTTCGTCATCTCAAATAATAAAAAACGGTAGTATTTGTCCGATCTAGTTTTTATGCAACAATATGCTTTAACATTTTTTAAACCAAATCATACCTTGCACGTAACATATATTACCCATATCACTTTCGAAATATAAGCACCACACATTTGGAAATGCCAAAACCAAGCAACAAAGGCTATTCGAACTGATGAACTCGAAATCCTATCAATTAAGCAAGAAACGAATGTTAAAGCTCAAGCAAATAACTACGTTAACTAAGACTCGACTAGGTGACACAATTTTGGAGTCAAATCTTTTACTATGGATAGACAAAAGACCTCAAGAACAACTAATCACATCTAATGGCCACTTGCGCTGCGAACAACCACTCATGTGATAAACAGCCTCTCACATGACCAACTTTCTCCTACCACAAGTCTCTTTACCAAACTCCGATTCAAACAGGATTACTATAAAAAGAAAGCCCTTTCGAAATACTAAAAGAATGTAAATTGCCAACTCAAATGATGGAAGAGGACAACTCAAAACCATTGTCAAATACGGTAATTCGTAACTAAGCAGTAATGTGCATGAAACTTTAAATATTCATTCCGACCAAACCGTAACTCCAAATTAACTTCCGTAAATTTCCACGGCTCTACAGCACCCTAAACTATCATTGCCATATAATTCATAGCTTAATAAACTCTAGAGTAAACCCAAAAAGCTAAAATCTACATAGATTTGCGAAATTTCTTCCGATTAGATGAACAAAAGTTCGAGTCCTCACCGGGCACTGCCAAAAGGAGTTAGTTCCCGCCCTTCTGTTTTATCATACGAATTTCTTTCTTCGCGGCTCCTGCAGAAAATGAGAGCTCATTAGATGGGGCTGACTTTGGACCCTTGGGTCTTGGCCCAATTATTACATTCGCTGAGATAACGGCGTTAGGGCGGGTCAGATCCGGAAAAGTTTCGGGTCGTTGAGGTTGTAACAAGAGAACATGATCCTAAAAACTGTGGACATTCAACACAAAACTTAGATTGTTAAGGGAATATATTCATATATTTCAACTTGTAGATTGATTTGAACAAGGAGTTCGACTTGCTATGCGACCCGAGTTAAAATTGTGATGTGTTCATAAACATATTTTTTTAAATGCAAGACGATACGGCCTATGTATCTGGCCTATGTATCTATATGTAATTTGTAATTTTTTTGCATGGATTGCGTGGACAACATAATTCTGTTTAACGAACTTTGCAAATAAGTCTATCAATGTCTTTTTTGCATGCATCTAGACGTATCTATTGATTAAGGAAAATTACGATATGTGAGGATAATTTACAACCCGATGGGGCTTTAAGTTTACGAATGACGATGGATTATTACGATCATGAAAGCAATTTACTTAGAAAATGAAAAAAAAAAAGAAGACTTATACTAAACTCAGGTTGTTTCTGATTTTTCATGGGAAGTTACCAATATGCTGGAATACTCAACCTTATGAGATTTTGAGGTAAATTATTATACGTGAAGGGTGCTTACTAATATGCCATTTACGCAAACATACACGATAGTTTATATCATTTAGGGCAATTATTAAATTCAGCTACCATTACTTACCATGGCTTGATGTATTTTACTATATTGGTTAATTGCGGCTGTTAGCATTTATATGTTACGGATGGTATAGACGAATTACTGTCCAATAACGTTATTTATTAAATATAAGTGCAAGCGAGTTACGATCATTACAAGTAAATTAAGATTCATAAAGCTAAATTGCAATCGATAAGTAAGAGTATGACCGATCTCAGGACAATTTTAAGTATGTTACAATAAATTCGGAAAAATTACGACCACTCTTTTTATTATTCAAGAATTGTTTGCTTGCTTGATTCTCAAGTCTGAATTCGTCGATCATTACGTGCATAAGGTTTAAGACTTACAGTGGACTTTTCTTCCTATTACAAAATGTCTTCTATACATTTTTCGGTCATTCATGACAAAATGAATTCATTTAATGTGAAATCAATTCATTTTAAGCATGCTCAAACATATATATAACGATGATTTATATTGTGATTACGATAAAAAGCCCGTCGTTAGGGCATGGGAAAATATGTTTGTAGGGACAATAAAAAGTCCCATTGTCGTGGCTCGGAGCAAAAATTGTTAGCAGGTGTAATCTTTTCCTCGCTTTAGTATAATCGAAATATTGTCACAACTTTAGCGATACACATAATGTACGTGCACAACCTTCAAGCGACACGAGACAACTTTCTAAAAGTTAGTTACCATAAAACTGTGGTAGCCGTAGATCCTTTTTGACAACTACAAGTAAAAATGACCAAGAATGTCTGACTTCTTCTTCTGCTGCATCTTTTTTTGTTTTTCCATTTCACAGGGGGTGATCGGTCGAGGACTTACGTACAAGTTGAAGGTGACAGGTTCGATTTCCCGATCTATCTCCGATTTTGACTATCATGAATTAGGAAAAATGACACAAACAATCCATGAACTTTGGCTAAATGTGCAATGTGATTCATGAACTGTAATTTGTTCAATGTAATTAAAATTGTGATGTGTTCATAAACATATTTTTTGAATGAAAGACGACACGACCCATGTATCCATCATGTGAATTCTGTAATTTTCTTTGCATGGATTGCATGGATAACACAATTCTGTTTAATGACCTTTGCAAATAAGTCTATCAATGTCTTTTTTTGCATGCATCTAAACGTCTCTATTGATTAAGGAAAATTACGATATGTGAGGATAATTTACAACCCGATGGGGCTTTAAGTTTACGAATGATGATGGAATATTACGATCATGAAAGTAAGTTACTTAGAAAATTAAAAAAAAAAACGACTTATACTAAATTCAGGCTGTTTCTGATTTTTCATGGAAAGTTACCAATATGCTGGAATACTCAACCTTATGAGATTTTGAGGTAAATTATTATACGTGAAGGGTGCTTACTAATATGCCATTTACGCGAACATACATGATAATTTATATCATTTAGGGCAATTATTAAATTCAGCTACCATTACTTACCATGGCTTGATGTATTTTACTATATTGGTTAATTGCGGCTGTTAGCATTTATATGTTACGGATGGTATAGACGAATTGCCGTCCAATAACGTTATTTATTAAATATAAGTGCAAGCGAGTTACGATGATTACAAGTAAATTAAGATTCATAAAGCTAAATTGCAATCGATAAGTAAGAGTACGACCGATCTCAGGACAATTTTAAGTATGTTACGATAAATTTGGAAAAATTACAACCAATCTTCTTATTATTCAAGAACTGTTTGCTTGACCGCCAATATTTGCAGGTTTGGTGGTTGATTGAATTCTCTAGTCTGAATTCGTCGATCATTACGCACATAAGGTTTAAGACTTACGGTGGACTTTTCTTCCTATTACAATATGTCTTCTATACATTTTTCGGTCATTCATGACAAAATGAATTCATTTAATGTGAAACCAATTCATTTTAAGCGCGCGCGCATATATATATATTGATGATTTATATTGTGATTACGATAAAAAGCACATCTTTTTCGGGCATGGGAAAATATGTTTGTAGGGACAGTAAAAAGTCCCATTGTCGTGGCTCGGAGCAAAAATTGTTAGCAGGTGTAATCTTTTCCTCGCTTTAGTATAATCGAAATATTGTCACAACTTTAGTGATACACAGAATCAGAATCAGAATGTACGTGCACTACCTTCAAGCGACACGAGACAACTTTCTGAAAGTTAGTTACCATAAAACCGTGGTAGCCGTAGATCCTTTTCGACAACTACAAGTAAAAATGATTCACAGGGGGTGATCGGTCGAGGACTTATGTACAAGTTGAAGGTGACAGGTTCGATTTCCCGATCTATCTTCGATTTTGACTATCATGAATTAGGAAAAATGACACAAATAATTCACGAACTTTGACCAAACGTGCAATGTGGTCCCCGAATTTTTAATTTGTCCAATATAATTCAGGGACTAAATTGAATATGTACCAAAAGTCAAAGGACAGCATTGAACAAATTAAAAGTTCAGAGATCAAATTAAACAACAAGGTAAAGTTTAGAAATTACATTAAATAAATTAAAAATTCAGAGATTAAATTGCACGTTAAGTTAGGGTTCATGAACTGTTTGTATCGTTATCCGTCGTTAGAGTATTACTGCCAATCATGGAATCGAGGACACTTGTACCGGACAGAGACAGGAACTACAGTTGCATCCGCCGGCATCTGTCCGATTCTGTGGCGCGCCGTCCCTTCGTCCCTTCGTCGTCTTCGTCGAAACTTCCTCGCACGCCCGCGATCGGGCCCCCACCCACTGCGACCCACCTTCCTCACTCTCTCTGCTTTCCGCTCCTCTCACTCCCTCCCTCCTCATTGCCTCAAGCTTCGACTCCCCCTTCTTCTTCTTCTTCGTCTGCGTCGTCGTCGTCGTCGACCCACGAACCAAGAACCTCGCGGGTGTCTCTCCGATGGCTGCGGCGTCCGCCCCGTCGCCGGCGAGTCTCGAGCTCCGGCCGCTCGGCGGCACGGGGCTGAAGGTGAGCTGCGTCGGCTTCGGCGCGTCCCCTCTCGGCAGGGTCTTCGGCCCCGTCTCCGAGGACGAGGCCGCCGCCTCCGTCCGCGAAGCTTTCCGCCTCGGCATCAACTTCTTCGACACCTCCCCGTAAGGCAAATTTGCAAGTTTTTCGTATTCCTTTTCCCGTACTTCTTGTCAGCCCGCGAGGGAGAGAGAAAGAGAGGGAGAGAGGGAGGATTCGGCGAATTGGGGTCATTTTGTTACCTGGATCTCGAGAATGGATGAGGGTCTAGGATAGAAAAACGGGCAGGTTTTGCCTTCTTAAGCTGTGTCTGAATTGGTGATGATCGTCTGTTTGTTGCTGAGAACGTGGGAATGAGTGGCTTAGGAGTCAGGGTGAGCTTATGGTAAAATTGGCGTAATTTGAGAGAGGGGACGTTGAGACGGTTGAAAGATTTTGAGATGGTACGATGATGTCCGCGATGGTTCATTGCCGGAGGATTGCGGAGTGAGGGGATTTGTTCTTTTGCTCGAAATCTTGATGAGCGATAAGATCACTGGGAGTTAATCACATAAGAAGAGGACTAGTGGAAGTTACTGCAATAGCAGTGTTAATAATTCTTTGATGATGGAGATAAGCGATTATTTGCATTACTTTTGTTAAAGGTGGCACGCCTAATACATTACTCAATTGCTTCTTTTCCTCCAATCTCCATCGAAATTTACTACTTTGCGTGAGCATTGGACCGATGAAAGTGGAGAAATTGATCTGGACTCAGCTACTCTTAGGTGTTTGTTCAGCTCATTTGAGGTCTCTCTTTGTTTTGGGATTGGTCGATACTCTCACATAATTTCTGGTCTTCATTTTGTTTTACCCGCTTTTTAAGGAGGCTCTGTTATTGTTTTTGCACCATACATTTTGGACTTGCATTGTGCACTGTTTTCCGCTTGAAAATGTGTCCTGATGTATCCTATTGTCAAAGGTACTATGGAGGAACGTTGTCAGAGAAGATGCTGGGGATGGCACTTAAAGCTTCAGGTGTACCAAGAGATCAGTATGTTGTCTCGACGAAATGTGGACGTTACAAAGAGGGCTTTGACTTTAGTGCGGAGAGAGTGACAAGGAGCATTGATGAGAGTTTAGAAAGATTGCAACTTGATTATGTAGATATACTTCAATGCCATGATATCGAATTTGGCTCCCTAGATCAGGTGCTTACCTTTCTCGTTCTTCCATCTGTGCCTTATATTGTTGATTTGTCACATGAATTCTGAAAAATGAGCGTAAACACTTGGCTTTTCCAAACTGACAGATTGTCAATGAGACTATTCCTGCACTTCTGAAACTGAAGGAAACCGGAAAGATCCGTTTCATTGGCATTACTGGATTACCATTGGGAATCTTCACATATGTGCTTGATCGTGTGCCACCAGGTTCAGTCGACGTAGTCCTTTCTTACTGCCACTTCAGTATCAACGACAATACCTTGGAAGATTTGCTGCCATACTTGAAGAGCAAAGGTGTTGGTATAATAAGTGCCTCACCCCTAGCAATGGGGCTTCTTACCGAGAGTGGTCCACCAGAGTGGCATCCAGCTCCCCCTGAGCTAAAGGTTGGTTTGCAATTTTTTCCCTTTGTTTCTCACTGAGATAATATGTTAAAATTAAAAAACAAAGTCTAACTAAGGGGTATTTTGCCTAGCTATCTGTCATCCTTAGTTCTCCAGATGGATTTTACCTATGAGCTACGATGAGAATCTTTTGAGCATTTCAGGTGCTTGTGCGGAAGGATGCTCATTTACGTCATAGAAGTAGATTGGCAATACTGGAAGGTCGTGAGTATAGTTTTGGGATTTTTGATGAGTTTGAAGACATCATTTGTGTGATATCGATCAAGGCTGAGCTAGAATAAAATTAGCAGGCCACTTGCTGAGGTGATTGGTCTCGGTCGATCTTCTAGTTAATAAAAACTTTTGTAGTTTAGCCCGTTATAGCCACCTCACTTGTGTGTTTGAGAGGAGTGGGAGCCATATGTCTTTTTATGCTAATTGGTACACATTGTTGGTACTTTTATAACCTTAGTCAGAGTAATGATCATCACGCACATGATTTGTCTTCAGTCTGCATGTCAAGATGCTGCGGCCTTTTGCCAGAAGAAAGGGAAGAACATCTCAAAGTTAGCTATGCAATACAGCTTGACAAACAAGGATATTTCCTCGGTGCTGGTTGGCATGAACTCCGTCAAACAGGTATGAATTAACACTTACGCTTGGGGCTTTCGGTGACTTATCAAGATCGTATTGTGAATGATGTTTGCCTTCTCTTAACCATATCTGTTTTGTTGACCAGAGCACTACTTACCTAATTTACATCCTTTTTACATTTCCCTGATTTCAATCATACCAAATTATAGTGAAAAAATAGTATAATTGGCTCTTCTTTGTTTTACGCTGATCCCAACATGACTGGAGAAAATGGCGGTAACTATGGTCGATATTATTTCAGATAACTGTCATATTGTAGTCTTGCTTTCTGCTTGGAAATGTAATCTTGGCTTTTCTCATTGACAGACGCTTTTTGCCTGTGTGCACCCGTAAAATTGTCATCCTACTTCTAAGTTCTTTGTGGTTTACTACCTATGTCCATTATGTCTTTGCCTAGTTTGTCTCCTTTGGTTTCTAGGCAGTGCAGAGAAAAGCATGGGTCAGAGTGCAATATGCATCCAAACTTCTTGATTGGGACAGTTAGAATTTAACTGTATCTGGGAGTGTGGTGGGGCACTGGCTTTGGCTTTAGTTAGGGGATGAGCCAATTTACGCATGGCTCATGTGAGGCCATTTGGGGTTTGATGTTCTGCTAAGATCCCTATAGTCCTCGTTGATTGCTAAATTGGTTCATCCTCCTGACAAAAGTTAAGCCGAGGAATCTGGTACCCCCAATGCCATGTAGATAACGATCACAGATGCATTTTTGTCAAAACAATTCCGTAGCTAACTCATCAAGCACCTTCTACTGCGATGAAGAACATGGGTGATATCGCCGCTGCTAGTTAAATAGCTGCGTAGCATGTAGCAGTGTAGGAATGAACCTCTCTGATACGCTTCTCACGCGCCGCTCGAAAATCAGGTCGAGGAGAATGTCGCCGCTGCAACGGAGCTGGCGTCCGTGGGAATGGATCAAGAAACACTGTCCGAGGTCGAAGCCATCCTCAAGCCGGTGAAGAACCTGACGTGGCCGAGCGGGATCCAGCAGAGCTAATAAGTTCACATCATTCCAGATGTTATGATGTGTTTGTATTGATGTATTCACTTATCCCATTTCCTGTCTTGTGAACTTGTCATCATGAAATATGTTTGCTTCAAATTTGCTTATCACATTCCAATCCATGCAACCAAGTGCTTTTCAGTGGGAACTTATTTTTCCTCCTTTCTTTGCTTTAAATTGAGGGATTGTATCAAATGACATAGCAAAGGTATTGATAATGCAAATTTTTTTTTTCTTTTTTCTTCTTTTTTTTTTTTTTTGCATTTTCCTTTATGAATATAACAGAGAATATTTCCTATGATGATAATTACAATCAATGTCCTCAATTATTGGCAAGAATAGAGGGAAAGATCTGATAAGCTAATTAGGGCAAAACCCTCTAATTTCTTGGATTTGCTGACCCGTTGGGGATTTGATTTTAAAGATTGCTGCCATCGATCCATATCGCCCTCGCAAACGTATGATCCGATGGAGATTCCAATCTTGTACTAATGAGTAACATCTACAGGAGCAGCGTGCGAGATAGAGGATTCATGTCCATTCGAATATTCGTCATCGGAACAAAATGGCTCTTATAATGTCTCTGATTTTGTAATCATGCAAAAAGCATTTTGTCGACAATGCAAAATTGATACGAATATTTGAAATGAAGGTGAAAGGACTCGAGACGAGTTGACAGCTCTAGCCTATACAAAACATGGGATTAGAAGAGAATATGATAGGAAAGAGATCGATATGAAAATATTTTAAACCTCGGCAGACTCTGCCTCTTTTGTAACGAGAGCAATTATTCCGTTGCAGTAGTCATAATTTTACTGATGTTAGTTATAAAACTAAATAACACGGTCGATAGCCATGGCATGAATTGTCAATCCTATTTCTCTTTCGCGAGAAACAAATAAATTGGTTTCTTTTTTTTTTTCAAAGAGCAATATTAGGTCCATTGATTTTTTTTTTATTGTATAAAAACTCTTTCACAAAGAAGGGATAGAAATATTTTATACGGAGTGCCTAAACGAGTTTATCATCCAATACATAAGTCCTATTTATTTTATATATCGAGCGACCAATCCGCACTTCACTTAGAAGATAAAAAAAATATCTAAAAATTCTAATAATATTCTAATACAAACTTTTTAGTTAATATTTTCTTTCGGTACAAGTAAATTTTCTCTTTAAAATTTTTTACTGCATTAAGATACCAATAGAAGTAGAACCACATACTTTTTTTCTTCAAAAATTTATTTTCGAAATATGATGATGTCATGAACAATCTCCAAAATATCCACGTCATCACATCACTCGTCTTCAGCCTTGGAGGGCGGCTCACCAACCTCCACCAGTCGCTCTACATAGCAAGTAGCGCGTGGGGCCCACCGGATACCACTGCCCTCTTTTGCATTTTCATTTCGTTTCATTTTTTTATTTTTATTTTTTTTTATTTTTTGGGGCCCTTCAGGGATTTAAAAACAAGGGATAAAAAGAAAAATAAGAAAAGAAAAAACATTCACTATTTGTTTCTGTGGCTCACTCGACACTCCTCAAGCGCACACTCCGATCGCCCATCCGCCGTCGCCGCCGCCGCCGCCGTCGTCGTCGATTCGTCAGCAGCGGCAGCCAGAGCGCCCCAGACCGGCCATGGCGACGGCGAGGGTCATCCCGGCCGCGGCGACCAGTGCCGCCACCTCCTGCCTGCTCGCCAGGACGCCGTTCTCGCTCAACCGGAGGGCCGCGAGCGCCGGCGGGCTGTGCTTCTTCAGGAGGGCCGCGCCGCCGCCGTCGCCGCCTCCGCCGTTGTCGTCGTCCACCAGGAGGCTGTTCGCTTGCCGCGCTATCTACAAGCCTCAGGTCCAGGTCAAAGAGGAGGGCAAGCCCGAGACGCTCGACTACCGGGTCTTCCTCGTCGACAACTCCGGCAAGAGGGTCTCTCTCTCTCTCTCTCTCTGGTCCCTCGCTTTCTCTCTGAGTGTGCTTCTTCGATTCTCGAGAATATGATGGAAAACGGGTGGATTTCTATTGGGAGTATCGGAAAGTTTTGTGCTGTTGTTTATACAGAGCTTCCGATCAGTGGATTGCCGATAGGAAGATGTGGGAGCTTTCTATTTTACCAAGATTGTCACTCTATTCGAAGCTTTGTGTTTGCAATGTTTTCGTTGGATTGGTAATGGTGGTGATCAATGGTACCGAACGAGCGCGAAAAAAGACAACTTGATTCGATTATTGTCTCCGTCTTATCTCGTATTTGCGGCAAAATCATGTTTTGACCAATGAGCGCGCTAGCAGAGAACTTGCAATGATGCAATTGGCTGCTCGTGATTTGATATTAGTGTCCTCTGAGTTACCGGACAGTAGGGTGGCAAGAATGTAGTCCTTGGAATGCGCATGGATGGGGCGAAGCCGTATTTTAGCGTCTTTTAAAGTTTGTTTGTCTTGCAGGAAAATGCCCGATGTCGGAATTTTATGTTGGAATTGTTTGAACGCTGAACTTTGAACTGGGTTCTGTTTTTTTAGATTACATTTCCACACGGGGAAGTGTCTCACGTTCTTCTTGTTTTCATAGAGACTTTATGCAAATTTAAAGATCTCATTGACTGAACATTGATTTAAGAAAATTCAAGTTACCGGTTCTTGGGCTTAAACATGGAGTAGAATTATGATACTGGTGCAGATATCCCCCTGGCATGATATACCATTGCAACTGGGCGATGGTGTTTTCAACTTTGTAGTTGAAATACCCAAGGAGTCCAGTGCAAAGATGGAAGTTGCCACTGACGAGCCGTTCACTCCCATCAAGCAGGATACTAAGAAGGGAAATCTTCGATATTATCCGTAAGATTTGCTTCTCTGTTACCGTGTGTTATTCCCTTCCCTGAGGTCCATGTTGAAATATCTCTGTGTCAGCTTCTTAATATGAATCTTTCTGCTTGCTAATATGTTCAACTGCAAGGCATAGGCTGACCAGTACTTATAGTTGTTTATTTAAAAGGTGATTTTCATTCTATTAACCAAAAAAACCTGGTGTCTACTTTCTGAGCACGTTAGGCACTTTAATTTCTGAGTAATCTGTCACAGCCACAGTCACTTATGAGTTGTAGTTCCTTTAGTTCCTCTCGTGAATGTCAGATATAAAAGTCTTTGAGTCTGAAATTCCAGAATTTCTGATTGACATGTCGTAAATCTCCTCATATACATGGTCATTATGATTAATTTCCAGTTTGTTTTTCCCCTGAATTCTTGCCGGTGCATAATTTTGAAGCTCCAAGTCGACGCACAGATGAATTATATAGCCTTCCTTGTGTTCCTCTTTATTTCTCATTTAGTGGAACATCTGTTACTTTTCTGTTTTTAAGCTATGAATCTATGATCGAGAGCAGTGGGAGAGACCCAATGCCCACTTGTAGCCATATGTATAATTAGAATGACGATGGCCGTGGGTGGCTTACATCGGTGCTTCATGCCTTTGTATTTCTAGCATGATAGCCTGTACTTATGTTCAAGATCTTTGTTCTTAGAGCATTCTTATCCTTTTGGGGTTTTCATTCATTTTGACTGGAGCTTCCATTGTTTTGTGGTTTTGGAGCATCTTGATGTTAAATCTCATAAACGTATACCTAAAGGAGTAACTGCCCTTTTTCTTCTAGTAATTGTTGTTAGAGTAATGAAATTCTGCATCATTTCTCATTTGATGTTTCTCAAGTGTATATGTTCCTGGGGACCTCCTTTATGATTCTTCTACATGATTACTTTATTCGAAGACTCATAGCTGCTGTGGAGGATACTGATACATTTTAAAGAGATGTAGTCTTCAGGTTATGGTCCTCTCATATTTGAACTGGATTTATGTCTTACAGTTTAAAATTAAAATAAATTGCTTATTATGTATTTAGAAGTAGCCAATTAGGTTGGAATTCACAGGTATAGGATGAAGCCTTCTCAAATTGGAGTTCAGCTAGGTCTAGAGGAGAGTTATGCATTCTAATAAGATTTTTTAAATTCCAAAGCTGAAGCATCTTAATTGTTTTCCTCAGCTATAATATCCACTGGAATTATGGATTGCTTCCACAAACATGGGAAGACCCATCTTTTGCTAACTCTGAAGTTGATGGGGCATTTGGTGATAATGATCCAGGTATTGAACAAACTTTATCCAGTTCTTTTAAACATTTCTTTCTTCAAGACTTTTAATGGAAATATAGAATAATATTAATCTAGTATTTCATTTTTTTCACTGTATAGTTGATGTTGTTGAGATTAGTGAAAGTCGGAGACAGATTGGTGAGATTCTGAAGGTCAAGCCCTTGGCTGCACTAGCTATGATTGACGAGGGGGAACTTGACTGGAAGATAATAGCAATTTCACTGGATGATCCTAAAGCTTCCCTTGTAAATGATATAGACGATGTTGAGAAGCATTTTCCGGTATGTTCTACTTAAATGAGTATCGTACTTTTCACTCATGCTATTCCCCCACTCTCAACAATATGCTGTTAAGCACCATATTTTCATTGTTTTGCAACTTTGATATGTTTATGCTACAAACAGGTACTAACTTATAATTCTCTCTATATCTGATGCTTAATTTGGAATGTCAATAGTTTGTTTGGGTATGTTAGTTTATTCAAAGCATATGTATAATACCAACCTGGTCAACTGAACATTTCCTCTGGAAGGTCTCAATTTGAGAAGATGGCTTCAGGATTTTGTAATTATAAGAAGTGATGGTTGAAATGATTGGTCTATTATAGTGGTACAGATGTCTGAATTATGAAAAGGAAACTGTATGGCATTAGCAAAAGAGGTAGGATACTTGTTTTTTCCTTTGATAAAACATGATAATATGTTCAAAAGGGCACCAAGGGTGTTAAGTCCATTCACTAATTAGAAAGGATGAAAGTACTCTGCAAGATTCATGAAAAAATGCAAGTCAAAAGATTACTTCCCACATGGTAAGATCTTAGCATGGATATATATGCGTACCATCTCAATGTATATGGTACTCAACATTTTTAAAGCAGCTGTGTGTGCATGCGCGCGCTCGTGCGTGCGTGCGTGCGAATTGACGAAGACATTGGAAAAGGAATTGCAAATATAAACACTAGTCTTATCCCTAGAAATGTTCTAATTACCCTTGACTGGTGTATTCTTTTGTTTAATTACATCCTGCTTGAGAGTTATCTTGTGTCCTCAGGGTACACTAACTGCAATCAGGGACTGGTTTCGTGACTACAAGATTCCTGATGGCAAACCAGCCAATAAGTTTGGTCTTGGAAACAAGCCAGCTGACAAGGTAATATTCAATGTCTTTAACATACTTTGCACCGATTTGATGCCCGCCCCCCGCACCCCCCCCCCCAACCCAAAAAAAAAAAAAAAGGATTGTGCAGAAGTAGTAGAATGCCATGGCCCAGCTTGCACTTTATGATTACTAGCAATTTGCTTCACCTAAGACTTTCTTAACCTTGTGTTTTGAGTGATTTACCTAGTAAATGCATGCTCATCTTCAGCAAGTTGCTACTTTGAGAGTTGTCTGTCTTGCTTATTAATAAATAACTTTATGGCAATGCTCCATGACCATCAGTATTTATCAAAATTTCCTTTGCCTTTTTCCCCTTCACTAGCCAGCGAGTTGCTCTACTTAGACCCCGTGCATGCTGACATTCATCAATAGGGCCTATGTTGACGGGTACTTGCCAATTTGAGCATTTTGTCCGAGTTACGACAGCATTTTGCCTAGCTACCTATCTGGATAGGTCTTGATCTGAATGGTTTCTCCGCCTTTAGAATAGACCTTCATCTCTTTGTCTTGAATATTTGATATGAAAAGGTCTCTGGTCCCACTGCCATTCCAAAGGCCCAACCGACCGACAGTTAGGGAATGCTCTAATTATTAGATCTTTTAGCTTAGGCATTAGTGAACACATCTTCCTATAAGGTTGGAAGGTGTAGATATGCTATTGTTGCGTTTAAATTTGAATCTAATCAGTTGAATACTAAGAGATATGGTGCTGGCAGGCTTATGCTCTGAAGGTGATCACGGAGACAAATGAATCTTGGACCAAACTTGTGAAGAGATCAATTCCTTCTGGCGAACTATCCCTTGTGTAATGTTGATCATTGAATCCATGCATGCACACTTGGACGTAACGATTTTTACCATTATAGAGCTGGAAATGATCTCCGTGACTTGATTTGCCGGTATTGTGTACTCTAATAGAGTAAACAAGTCCTGGATGTTTAGGTGACGTTTACCATTGTGTATCTTAGGCATCATTATTGTTTTGCTAACATTTGTGTCTGATTATTTATCTTATGAAAAATAAAAAAAAGTTTCGCTTCGTATCATACACCTTCATTGTTCTTTGGAGTTTGGGAAGTTATTCCTGTCTCAAATGCATTGTCATTTTTATGTTCATGAGAATCCTATGGGGCTGCTCTGTTCGCTATGATCAAACCGTTTTGTCGTTTTGCATACCCTACTGGGGTGGTGAAAAGCTTCCATTATGCACCGGTACGCGCTGAATTCCTATGTTACCTTTTGATTGATGTGCTGCATTGTTGCTAGTGTCCTCAATGTGATAGGTTAAGAAGCATTGAGTTGTCGATCTATTGCATTTGATTTTGTTTCTCGTAACTTTGCCGGGCTTTTTGGCCTAGCCATAGGTCATTCAGGTTATTTTGATCTCGTTCTCATCGCACATGTCACCTTTTACGTGCATTTACCCGTGCTCGGACAGAAACGAGCGCGGCGCACGGTTACTTCAAGCAATTCGGAGAGAGTACTTCATGAAACTTCTTGATGATGTAGCATCGGCATGTGTCGGAGCTGAGTAATTTGGGTCAAGACATGTCTTACCTCTGAAAGTGGTCATGGTGTTGTTCGAGAGGGTTTTGACCCTCTAGGCTTGCGTTGAGTTGACCGTCCCAATATGCAAATCTGATAGCTCCATCTAAGTTTAATCAGGGAGCGCTCTTGATAATCACCCAATTATCTTGAGCGTCCAAGAAATATTTCGACATTTATTGAAGCATTTGCTCGTTAGGTAACTTTTTCTAGTCTTTTGTTTTGAGGGAAATCAATGACTTGGAAAATATTTTATTTTAAAAAAACGATTCGCTTGTATTGTAAGGAAAAAATTGTCGAGAAAGAATATTTTTATCATCGCCAACTATTTATGATTAAATATTTTCGTTGATGATAAAAATATTTGCCGTTTATTTATTATTGTAAGAATTACAAGCACTCATTTTTTTGAAAAAATATATTTCAAATTATTATTTTTTCACGAAACAAACGCGTAAAATGCATTTTGCTTTCCCTTTTAAGATGTCGGAACAAATATTTCCAACATTAGAAACCGTAGAAATAATCTTGAAAACTCTACATATCAAGAATACTTGGAAGCTTCTCCAACGATCAATGGGAAGCGCTAGCACGGATAAATTGTTGAGGAGATGAAGATTCCAGATTGTGGAGAACGCACTGGGCATAAGACGGCCTTGGTTCAGGCGTGGGATCTCAGAGCTGAAGGCATTGCATATATCAAGCAGCTTCCCTCGATGTCAAGATATGCATCAATCCGCTTGTTCATCCCAATCACATACAGGGAGCTCAAGTGCAGTGATTATTTTCCCGGAATAAAAAAAAGAATACTTGGAAGATTTAGTAGAGGGAAAGAGATTCTCCAATGGCAGCTTAACAAGAACAATTGTCCAATCTCGCGAACTATGGAGAATCTGAAGAATCTGTCCCATATCACGCAAAGGCCGTTAAATGGAGTGGTTCGCTGTGCATCCTGACGGACGGATATTGATCCATTTTCATGCAAACAGATAAATTTATCCAATGATATCCGATCCGATCACTTTAAACAAAATCATTTTAATATTTTATTTAATCTAGAAAAACTTCACATCAAATTAAACGACAAAAATTAAATAAATAAAATAAAGAACAAAAAAACCTATAAATTTGAAAATTGGCAAATCAAAACAAACAAAAAATTGGAAAAAGGGAAAAAATTTCATCATTGCATGTGCTCTTAAACGCTGCAGATCATCTCTAGAAATCATTTGCAAACCGTCATCACTGCCAGATTGTGGCTGTCAAACCACTTGTTACACGAGCAAAAGACCTTACGAGCTCGATGCTCAGGTGCGAACACGACGTTGCTAGCGGGTCCAATAAGCTTTCAAAGCTGAGTTTGCTTGAGTGGCAAAAAGAATTCCAAAATACTAACATAAAAACATAAAAGTTAAAAAGCTAATTTCCTAGAAAAATGAAAAGAAAAGAAGAAGAAGAGATTTTGAAACAGAAGAAGACTAACTCCACGGCCTGGATGCTGCAGAGTGCCGTCTTCTTCTTCCCCAACCAGCATATGTGCACGCCACCTCCTCTGCATAGTGATCAATCTGTCACGTCAAGACCGCCCCTACCGCACTGCCACCCTCCTCAGGCCGTTGCCTTTTTTCCAACCCGAGTTCAAGGACCTTCGGAAAACCCAGGTCAACGCCACGGCCGAAGCAGGTGGAGGTCCTCCGCCTCATGTTTGAAACCGGTGGAGGTCCTGGTCGCGAACCTTTCGTCGGCATCAAATCTGAGAGATTTTGAGTTTGGGAGAGAGATATAAAACTGAGAACTGACAATGGCCACAAGAAGCGATGACAGCAATGAGTGATTGGGGAAGGTGACAGTGTGCGGGGGACGAGCGACTGGGGACGATGGTGGTCCCTGACGAATGAGTAAAGGTGTCAAAATGGGTCTTAAACCCATATACGACCCATTTAAAAACAAATGAATATATGGGTCACTTTAATTTTAAAGAAATAACCTTAAATGAATTTTAAATTTTAAAGGCTTAAAGATAAATGGGTCTAAATGGGTTGAGTTTGGAACCCATATCCAACCCACCTACTGCACCCATCCACACACTTTCTCCTCTTTACAAAAATGTTTAAAAAAATCGAAATCTAATTCTTTTTCTCTTTTTCTTTGTTTTTCTTTTTCTTTTCTCTTCTTTCTTTTTTTTTTTTTTATTTCGGCCGGTGGTCGGCCACGGCGACAAGCCACCGGGGAGGGACGACACTCGCCGGAGGTCGGATGGGCTCAGAGCTCGCCCGATTCTCGGCGACCTCGAGGCTCGCCGATCCCGGCGAGGCCGGAGCTCGCCGACTCGTGACGAGGCTCTAGCCTCGCCGATCCGGCGAGACTCGAGCTCGCGGGCCTCAGCGAGCTCGACCTCGCCGGATCTCGGCGAGGTGGAGCCTCGCCCGAGGCCGGCGAAGCTCGAGCTCGCCCGAGGCCGGCTCGGCCTTGCCTCGCTAGATCGGCGAGAACGAGCTTCGCCGGCCTCCCGGCGAGCCTCGCCTCTGTCTCGTGGTCGGCCGTCGGCCACGGCGGCCGGTGATCGGCCAAAAATAAAGGAAAAAGAAAAAAATAAAAATAAAAATAATTAAAAATTCGATTTAAAAAATAAAAAAAATATTAATTTTTTTTTTCTTGGATAATGACTTTATGGAAAATATTTTTTAGAAATGTCGCATTTTTCGTAAAACAAAAAGAACCTCAATTTTAAAAAAAATTATAAAATTTTTTCACTAACTTTGTATTGCATAAAATGTTTTAGCAAAGTATAATTTAAAAAAAAATCATAAGAAACAAGTATTCCTAGATTAGGTTAAATATAAAAGTATTTTAGCAATATGGGTCGGTCGGGTTGGGTATGGGTCGGGTATGGGTTGGGCGGGTATGGGTCGAGATATTTACACTATGAATAAATGGGTCATAAAGGGTTAATGGGTCAATTTGGATCGGACCGTTATGACCCGACCCAAACCCGACCCGACCCACCCATTTAACAGGTCTACGAATGAGCAACAACGGCGAGTGGAATCCCTTGCCCGGATCTCCAGAGTCTTTGTCAGAGTTAAATTTCATAGAGTTATATTTGGATTTAAGTTAACAACTTAAATGGGTCGAATATGAGTCCGATACAAACCTAGATAAACCCGTATAAATTTAGCTTTAATATTTCAAACCCATTTTGACCTGTTTTTAAAGTTTTCGATTCATATTGAACCTGGCCCACTAGCAATGAGTTTAAAAATGGGTTTGTGACCCATAATGCCACCTCTACACGTCGCACACCGGAAATCGAAAGCTTTCACCAATCTTTTGTAGATGGGAAAAGAACATTGATGGCATCGTAACTTTAAGTGAAGATATTATAAGCAACGGAGCATTTAGTATGACTGTTGGCTAATCATTATAGCCGTTGTTGTTCGGCCATAGACAAGTAGGAGAGAAGAAAGATCTGAGAAGAGATTGTTTGACAGTATGTCAGAAGCCGCAGCGACTGGACAGCAGCAGAAGCTAGCGGGGTAGCTTGCAAAGGTTTGGGATAGACTGTATGGACAGTGCAATCCTCAGATAGCAGCTCCAACAAACTCATAATGGCTGTTTTGCTTATCCAAGACATGTCCAGTGGATTGTTTAAAGATTCCTACAAAAGAGAAGATCTATGAACGCCAAGAAGTTAGCGATACACAAAACCCAAAAATCTGCTAAGATGTGTCCTAAGCAAAAAGCTCTTATTTGTCTGTGATCATTGCTACTTATAATTGTGCTCAAAGATCAAGTGTAATGATTACTTAGCAGCACTTAACTTCTGATAGTATAATCTATCTTCCGAAAGGATTAGTGTATGCTGGTTGTAACTTATTCCGCAAATTACTAGTGTATTTCAGCCCAACTTATGGTTATTAGCCGTGAGAGTGGACATAGGCTTGTGGATAAAGTCGAAACACTATATATCTTTGTGTGCTGCTGTTTCCCTCTGGTTCAATTACTTAGGCACACAATCCGCTCATGATTTTCGAAACATTATCTTAACATGATCTTTACTTTGTACTCACTGTTTTTCCGCAAAAGTTATAGGGTTAATACCACGAAAAACCCCACACTGGTACACCTGTGATAATTTTATCCCAAACTAATTTTTTCACTACCAAAAACCTCAAACTGGTACAACTGTGATAAATTTACCCTGAACTATTTTTTTGACCACTAAAAATCCTACATTGGTACACTTGTGATAATTTTACTCTGAACTAATTTTTTGACCATAAAAAATTCCAAACTGGTACACCTGTGACAATTTTACCCAAAACTAATTTTTTGACCACTAAAAATCCAAAACTGGTACATTTGTGATAAATTTACTCTCTGTTAGTGTCCGTTAAATTGGATTAATATCACGAAAAATCACAAATTGATAAACTTGTGATAAATAGAAGGGTAAAACCCCAAATTGGTACACCCTCCAACTGTTACGTGTCATCAAACTTA